GAGTGCAATTTAGTGAGAAACTGGCTATACAGCCCACGTAACTGGACACTTTCATTGTGTATCAGAGGTGAATAAGAAGGTTCTTACGCAAATAGATTTATTAAAGCATTCAAGTGTAATGACTTAGAAGCGAATTAATTTAGTTAAGTTAGTCTAATTTCATGTTGCAATTTAGTGAGAAACTGGCTATACAGGCCACGTAACTGGACACTTTCATTGTGTATCAGACGTGATTAAGAAGCCTATGCCAGACTTAGACGCAAACCAATTTAGTTAAGTAAGTTTAATTTCATGTAGCAATTTAGAAAGAAACTGGCTATACAGGCCACGCAACTGGACACTTTTATTGTGTATCAGACGTGAATAAGAAGCCTATGCCAGACTTAGACGCGAATTAATTTAGTTAAGTTAGTCTAATTTCATGTTGCAATTTAGTAAGAAACTGGCTATACAGGCCACGTAACTGGACACTTTCATTGTGTATCAGACGTGAATAAGAAGCCTATGCCAGGTGCTTACGCAAATAGATTTATTAAAGCATTCAAGTCTAATGACTTAGAAGCGAATTAATTTAGTTAAGTTAGTCTAATTTCATGTTGCAATTTAGTAAGAAACTGGCTATACAGGCCACGTAACTGGACACTTTCATTGTGTATCAGACGTGAATAAGAAGCCTATGCCAGACTTAGACGCGGATTAATTTAGTTAAGTTAGTCTAATTTTATGTAGCAATTTAGTGAGAAACTGGCTATACAGGCCACGTAACTGGACACTTTTATTGTGTCAGACGTGAATAAGAAGCCTATGCCAGACTAAAAAGCGAATTAATTTAGATAAGTAAGTCTAATTTCATGTAGCAATTTAGTGAGAAACTGGCTATACAGGCCATGTAACTGGACACTTTCATTGTGTATCAGACGTGAATAAGAAGCCAATGCCAGACAAAGTCGCAAACCAATTTAATTAAGTTAGTTTAATTTCATGTAGCAATTTAGTAAGAAAGCTTGCTATACAGGCCACGTAACTGGACACTTTTATTGTGCATCAGACGTGAATAAGAAGCCTATGCCAGACTAAGAAGCGAATTAATTTAGATAAGTAAGTCTAATTTCATGTAGCAATTTAGTGAGAAACTGGCTATACAGCCATGTAACTGGACACTTTTATTGTGTATCAGACGTGAATAAGAAGCCAATGCCAGACAAAGTCGCAAACCAATTTAATTAAGTTAGTTTAATTTCATGTAGCAATTTATTAAGGAATTTGGTAAGGAAACTGGCTATACAGGCCACGTAACTGGACACCTTTTTGTGTATCAGACGTAAATAAGAAGCCGATGCCAGACTTAGACGCGAATTGATTTTAGTTAAGTTAGTTCAATTTTATGTAGCATTTTAGTAGGAAACTGGCTATACAGGCCACGTAACTGTACACTTTTATTGTGCCAGACGTGAATAAGAAGCCTATGCCAGACAAAGACGCAAACTAATTTAATTAAGTTAGTCTAATTCATGTAGCAATTTAGTAAGAAACTGGCTATACAGGCCACGTAACTGGACACTTTTATTGTGTATCAGACGTGAATAAGAAGCCTACATGCCAGACTTAGACGTGAATTTATTTAGTTAAGTAAGTTTGATTTCATGTAGCAATTTACTAAGAAACTGGCTATACAGGCCACGCAACTGGACACTTTTATTGTGTATCAGACGTGAATAAGAAGCCTATGCCAGACTTAGACGCAAACCAATTTAGTTAAGTAAGTTTAATTTCATGTAGCAATTTAGAAAAAAACTGGCTATACAGGCTACGCAACTGGACACTTTTATTGTGTATCAGACGTGAATAAGAAGCCTATGCCAGACTTAGACGCGAATTAATTTAGTTAAGTTAGTCTAATTTCATGTACCAATTTAGTGAGGAACTGGCTATACAGGCCACGTAACTGGACACTTTCATTGTGTATCAGACGTGAATAAGAAGCCTATGCCAGACTTAGACGCGAATTAATTTGGTTAAGTTAGTCTAATTTCATGTAGCAATTTAGTGAGAAACTGGCTATACAGGCCACGTAACTGGACATTTTCATTGTGTATCAGACGTGAATAAGAAGCCTATGCCAGACTTAGACTCGAACTTAATGATTTAGTTAGGGATCAGGGATTATATACGGCCTTAGGAGGAAGTGACCTGTAAATTGGAAATATCCTTTCACCAAATGAATATGAAGATTGTATCATATCTTACATATATCGATTTGGGAGCTAGATCTCTTAATAGTTTAAATGTCCTGCACTAAACAACGGTAATTTATTATATTTTTTGTTATATTTATTTATTTACCTTATGTGAAACTATATAAATATGATCAGAATTGGAAGCAATAAAGAAATATATATTTTATATAAAAGTAGCAAGACTTTCCAAAATTGCTTGGTCAATGATGGTCTATTCTAAAATCTTATAACCTGCTATTCCCCTGAATGGCATGAATGATAAAAATAGAGTACTTTTTAAAATTCCGAACGACGGTAAATAAACAGATATTCCATAATTATGAGCAACAGTGTATATTCACTGGTGATCCACTCGATTACGCTGGTTACCGAAACGGTTCGTATTTCGAAAAACAGTTAAGATCTGCACTTTAAACCCATACCTTTTCTGTAACTTAAGTGAGGAAATGAATCGACGATTCTGTTGTCTTCTGAGCTATTTTTTCGCAAACATGTGCATTTTTTAAAACATATGATACTGATACACGTTTGTGTGAAAAATGTCGTGGGGATTCTGCCTACAACGCGTGAAGTAAGGAAAAAAGAAAAATCGTACCTTCGACGTTCCGACATTTTGTTACCGAAACGAAAAACCAGCGTAATCGAGTGGATCACCAGTGATATTGGTTCTTACCTAATATTTGCCCAGGAAGTAAACGATTAGTTGATACTTTTTTCTCATTTTTCAATTAATTACATTGTTTATATAACACTGTGTAGGACACAAATTAGTTCTAAACTCCGGAACTGTAACCAGGCAACTCAGAAGTATTCCGTAACCAATGGAACAATCAAACTCTCTCGGAATCCAATAAAACCAAAGATATTATGAAAACAAAGTGACATTCGTACTAAACTCAACATTAACCAAGAGAATGTTAATCCTAGATAGTTAATATAGTTATTCCTGCTAGAGAAAAAGAGTTGCATTGAAACAGAAGCTAGGGAGGGACAGGATCTCGTAAATGCGTAACACACGCAATATTGTGTTTCTCTATAAACTACCACACTGACTCAAATCCGGATTCAGTAATTGATTGAACTAACTAAATACAGATCAAGTTGAATAAGTAAGAGTTAATTGTAAGCTAGATAAGGCATTCCATTGTTTATTTTGACGCTGTTAGTCACGTATTTTATAATTTATCCCTCGATTGTTCTCAGTAATGAGTTGAATACATAGATCTTTGGTTTCAAAGGCATCTGATCTGATTTCATTAAAAATTCATCAATCATTGTTACAAGTCTCTTAAGTTAATGTAAAAACAAACCCGGACAAATGGTACAATCGCCGCCAATTTGCATTAATATTTAAGAGACTAAGATAAAGGTAGGAGGAGAGTTTAAGAGACGAGGCAGTAAAAGTGTGATCTTGAACAACCCTGGTGAGAGCACTTCAGAGCTAACTAAGCTGTGTGTTTAGTGGATATCACTAATGTCAATTGTGTTTTATTCCTATAGACATTGTTCGTATGGAGATAACGGATGAGCAAATATATACTTCACTGGTGATCCACTCGATTACGCTGGTTACCAAAACGAACCGTTTTGGTAACAAAATGTCGGAACATCGAAGGTACGATTTTTCTCGTTCCCTTATTTTACACGTTGTAGGCAGAATTCCCACGACATTTTTTAACACAAACGTGTATCAGTATCATATGTTTAAGAAATTGTACATATTTGGGAACAAATAGTTCAGAAGACAACAGAATCGTCGATTTACTTCCTCACTTAAGTTACATAAACGGTTTCGGTTAAAAGTGCAGATCTTAACTGTTTTTCGAAAAACCGTTTATGTAACTTAAGTGAAGAAATAAATCGACGATTCTGTTGTCTTCTGAGCTATTATTTCGCAAACATGTACATTTTCTAAAACATATGATACTGATGCACGTTCTGAGAAAAAACATCGTGGGGATTCTGCCTACAACGCGTGGAATAAGGAAAAAAGAAAAATCGTGCCTTCGACGTTCCGACATTTTGTTACCAAAACGGTTCGTTTTGGTAACCAGCGTAATCGAGTGGATCACCAGTGTACTTGCTATGTCGCAGTTAGTGACCAGCTTAGGTCTCTATGATCTCTAATCGTAGTAAATACTGCAATGAAGAATGGCTAAGATAAAATTGATATAATACTTAGATATAATCCATGGAATTTAAGCATATTAGCAAGAAATCAACATAGTACGTGGCATGCAACTGAAATTAGCGAGTTGATCCCCTTTGGATAGAATAGAAAAGAACAATACAATTTACTCATGCATATCACTCATTGAGCTGAGACCCAAGGTTATTGAAGACAGGATGTAACAAATACAAGTATCATCATAAACAAAATCCATTCGCCAATTTTCAAACAAGACACAGAACAAAACGTAGAGACCAACACAAGCATTATTCAAGGCCTACAGTATTTGGACACAAGATAAGCAAAAAGGCGTGAAAGTAAGAGGGACGGTGTTGTACATTTGTAGGTACAAACGCAAAAAAGAACATAAAATAGTTCATACAAGGAAGTTGTACACAAGGCTAACTAGACGCCGAGAGGTCAACGAAAAGTCAAAGCAAGAGACAAGAACCCAAGATACAAGCGATACATACTTAAAACAAGGAGTCACAGTATTAAAAGAAGGCACACACTAAAGGTACTAGTACCCAAAAAGAGACCAAAGGGGCACCAAGAGGCAAGGGAACTAAACAAGCGACAACACAAGGAAGAACTATGGACAGCGTAAGTAGTTACGCGATAGACTCTGGTGTGTTTGGCGCTGATCCTAACCAAAACATGAATGGTGACGTCGATCCAGCAACCCAGAAAAGGAGAATGGAGATCATAAAGGAAATCCTGGACAACTTCGATTTAGAAGAAACTAAAGAACGCTACAGATCTCTGAACAACTCCGAATATACCATGGATGTAAACAATCTAAGTATAGACAGGTAAAGACTCAATTACTTGGCATTTCGTCATGTCCCTTTTTCAATTCAATTTTTTTTTAATTTTGTTAAAAAGTGGACGAAAGATAAAAATGAAGAACTTGTAGAAAAGAAGGAAATGCTGATTTGCTCCAGGAGAATTCTTCCCTTTAGCTCGTATTACTTATATACCAGGTATTAGTCAGAAACTTCCCCCGGAAATTCTGGGTTTTTACTCTATTGAATTCAAAGTTCTGTTTCGATTTCCATCCTGTCTTGATTTTAGACTTGTTTTTAAAATAAACGTTATTGACATATTGGACAGGTTGGCCGTTATTAACATGAGTTATTTTTGTAGAGGTAGATTTACAGGGAAAATGTCAATAATGGCAATGAACTACTTTATGTTTTCTACTGCGTACTTTTGATAATTGAATCTAAAGATGTTTCATCGGTTTACAGTTTATGATGTTACATGCACGTTATTTAGATTTTGAGAAATTAGATTCTGCAATTCCTTACACAATTCCACATTGACATTTACCCTATTGAGTATGCCCGGAATGTATGTTCTCTCAATTCCCAATTCTATTAATAATGGATTAGCAACCCGGATTAATGGGCATTTTTTTCAACTAGTTATGGCCTATAACTACTCCTGTAACAATATACAACTTCATAATTTCTCCATTAGTACTAATTAATACTACGCCAGAGTAATTAATTCTCGCACCCCCTCCATGTTATACCCAGGTAAATTTTATAAATATAATCTTGAGAAGTATCCTTTTTGGGAACTCTTGGCTGAAATGACATTTTCTGAAGAATTAGAGCCCCTCTCTTTTTGATAAAAAAAACTAGCTGGGAACGGGTCTGTACACTTTTAGATAGTAATATTGGTCCAAATGACAAAAACGACGTTTTGAAATTCTAAATAAAATCATCAATATGATGAAAACAAAATATAAGCAATGAACGGCATCAATAAAACAGTATAATTTATACATATTACTGTAAGTTCCACATGTTATGTTCCCACAGATCTAGATTCGCAATGAAGTTGTAACACGCGGCTTGATTGCGACAATCTCTATAGGCCTAATTATTTGTTTCTAGATTTCTAAACTGTATCAATATATTATAGTATTGTCATGGTAACTCTTTAGTCTTATAAATGAGAAATAACGGAAGAAACAAAATGTTTTCCTTTTCACCGAATGCTACCTATTTTCCATGGAATTTGAATCATTCTTGCGACACTCATAACATGTCTTGTTTTGCAATGGTACGCAAGACAGGACAACGATTATTGTTTTGAATAGAACTATTGAAAACGTCATGTTTATCAAGACTGTATTTATTAACAGGATCGTACACTGGTGATCCACTCGATTACGCTGGTTACCGAAACGGTTCGTTTTAGTAACAAAATGTCGGAACGTCGAAGGTACGGCTTTTCTTTTTTCCTTATTTCACACGTGGTAGGCAGAATTCCCACGACATTTTTAACACAAACGTGTATCAGTATCAAATGTTTAAGAAAATGTATATATTTGCGAACAAGTAGTTCAGAAGACAACAGAGTCGTCGATTTAATTCCTCACTTAAGTTACATAAACGGTTTTTCGAAAAACGGTTAAGATCTGCACTTTTATCCTAAACCGTTTATGTAACTTAAGTGAGAAATTAAATCGACGATTCTGTTGTCTTCTGAGCTATTTTTTCGCAAATATGTACATCTTCTAAAACATATGATGCTGATACACGTTTGTGAGAAAAAACGTCGTGGGGATTCTGCCTAGTGCCTACAACGCGTGAAATAAGGAAAACAGAAAAATCGTACCTTCGACGTTCCGACATTTTGTTACCAAAACGAACCGTTTCGGTAACCAGCGTAATCGAGCGGATCACCAGTGATCGTAGGCGCATTCGCTTGCTGCTGTTGTAGATACCGAAAACCAAGGAGGATTGGCTCCCAGAGTGCACCACCGATATTCTGTCCCATATATGGTAGCGTGACCTTTGACCTTGTTGACATGTGACAGGTTTCTTTAGCACGGAAGCCATTTTGAAACCTGTGAGGTCAAAGGTCACCGCTACCATATATGGGACAGAATATCGGTGGTGCATTCTGGGAGCCAATCCTCCTTGACCGAAAACCAAGAAAATGAATAGAAGAGAATACAAATATTATTGTTCACTTATCAGACTGGACAATGTAAGTAACCTCAGGTACGAAGGTGATACATTCCAACCAGACACTCGACCATAAAAGTTAATAATCCTCTTGAAACGTTTACAATGTCACTTATCTGCAAATATTTGGATCTCCTTATATTGATACACTTCTCTGAAAACATTGTCACAATCCATTAATCAAATGTGAAACTTCGCTTTGATATTTTGATACAAGATCCCTTCGAGATTTTATTGACTTTTACAGATTTTGTTAGCAATTATTCTAAGCCGATTGTTTGACTAAATTGTTAGTATTAAAACCAGAGTAACCAAAACAATGGCATGGCCGATAGTTGCGAAATTTCCTAAAATGCCAATACCTAAAAATGCTAAAATGCATTCAAGGCATTCAAGTTCAATTATCACTGAGCTAAATGGAGAAAACAATTAACATCGTTATCAGCATTTTTTGCTAGAATATAAGTATTTGATCTGCACATTGGTTTTGCATATTGCCAGGTAGCACAAGGTTAGCCTGGCAATGTAGTGTTGAGTAAACAATACTAAACATGGTCTGAAGTGTTTCACCAGATAATCGTATTGCATACGCGAAGGAGGCAATCCTTTGTATACCCTAGCAACAAAAAATATGAACATAACAGAATCATGATTATATCACAAAATGATGCTTTTTATTTAACCATTGAATTGAATTCTCAAGAAAGGTCATTAGTATTTAACTAGTCATTTTTTAGGAATGCCAATTTTATTTCATATACCAATTTAAGTCTCATATTCTTGCAATCTGATATAATAACCCAGACTAGCGGAAGGCATTGAGTGTTTATAGAGATGGCCATGGTAGATAGTATAGTAGCTCTCAATAATGAAAATAATTAGTGAAATATTAAGGACCTTTCTCGAGAATTCAATTAAAAAATGAAAAAAGATAATATTAAGATTATTGTGTCTAGATCTTAATTATTTCAATATTTTTGGATACCTCTGGGCCTTGCCAGAAAATATCTACCTCGCCTAGATAAACATAATTTGTTATCAAAATTACCATTAATATTTTTTTGATGTAGCTTTAATTGCCATGACTTACTTCATTTGAAAACGTGATTGTCCTGTCCATTTGGAACTTGTGAGTGTCCAATAATGTAAAAGTCATTCTCATGTCATTTGAAAACGCGATTGTTCTAGACATTTGAAAATGTGATTTTCCTGTCCATTTGAAAACGTAACTGTCCTGTCTATTTGAAAACGAAAGTTTCCGTCAATTTAAAACAGGAATCACAACGTGATTTTCCTGTCAATTTGAAAAAGTAAATGTAATATCCATTTGAAAGCGTGACTTGTTTTTCCATTTGGAAACGTTATTATCCTAGCCATTTGAAAACATGACTACCATGTCCGTTTGAAAAAGTGATTGTCCTGTCATTTGAAAACGTGGTTTGTAGTTAGCCTTTTGAAAATTTGACTTCCATGTCCATTTGTAAACGTTATTGTCTTGCCCATTTGGAAACGCTATTGTCCCGTCAATTTGGAAACAATATTATCCTGTCCATTTGAAATATTAAAGTGATCGTACTGTTCGTTTTTCATAACACCATTGTTCTAACCATATATTTGAAAATGTAATTTACCTGTCCATTTAAAAACGTAGTTTATCATTCTGATTTCCATGTCAATTTAAAAACATGCACTGTTTTTTCCTAACATACGTATGTCTTTGAGGTTTTGGCAATTAGTTTCTTGTCAATGGAATGTGTGTGTATTTTATGTTTAGTTCAATGGAAGGACTGCGTACGAAAGAGAGGATGCAGTACCTGATGGGGAGTGATGTGATTCAGGTTGGGGACAAAGTGTACAATGATAGGCTGAGGGAAAGACTTCAAGAGGAATATAATGTTAGTTGGTTAAGTTTAATCTGTATTACTTACAAAACCCTGATTTAATGGAAATCCAGAGAGAAAAAACACCTAATTGATTTACAAACAACTTTCCGATGAACATACATAGATACAATTATACCTTTCATGTTGTGGTCTAATGAAATTGTTGATCAACAATGTGTTTCGTAGGATTTGCTTATAAGAAGATCGAGAGTAAGAGTAGATTCACTCATTTATTTTTGTGATGGGACATTGACGACTGGGTATGGAATAGTATGAAATGAAGAATATGATTTTATTTGTCTAAATAATTTCCGGAGATTCTGAAATATTTCATCAAAAGTACAATCATTATTATTAACTTTCTATAAGCCAAGTTTCGTGTTGTCTAGTTTAATAAGTAATTGATTATAGAACACTGTAACATACTTTATACTATTTACTGGCGCGCATCATCATCTCTTGGTAACACATCTTGTTTTTAATTAATAATTGATGATAAACAATCGAATTGTTGTTATGTAGCCTGACCTTACACGTAAATAACATGGTTTCTTTTAGGTCCAATGATATTTTGAATTTACATGACAATCCTTTTACTCAAAAATATAAAATAAAAAATCTCCACTTGGATGGTCTACATCAATAACAATATAAATTGCAATTACATATATTGTCTTTCTCATCAATATGTCGATTCGTTGTTGTAGCGGCTTTATAATTAAATTGTAATTGTTTTTCCGGTACTTAATTAATTAACGTAAATTGATACCATAGGCGAAGATGGACCAACGGGAACAAGAGCTCTCCCAACAGGAGAAGAGGCGTGTGCGTCGATTGGTGCTTCAAGGCGTTTTGCATAGTTCGGACGAGGATGAGGGGGCATGTTTACATGACAACAGACATAATACAACGAATCATAAGCATACGAATAAGAAGAAGGTGGGTGATGCATATAAAAGGCTTATGTAAAAGGCTCTTAGCTAAGTATTTATGTTATTTTTGGTAAGGGTGCTGGCAATCAGACCCTGAAATGTCGTGCCCTTTATAAAACACGTCATTTTTATTATTCTTGCTACAATGACATTCCTCAAGACTTGCAAAAATGAGGCCTTGCTGATTTGATCAATCATGGAATGGATGAAGTTCCAAAAAAGTATGTATAGAATGCATATTTACAGTGTATCTGATGAGATTGGCTGGAATGTTAAAGGAGGAGGGAAGTTAGCGCAACAGATTTTGGACAGTCATATGTTGGATTTTGGCCATTTCCTGGGGATTTAAACAGGTTTTTCCTGAAATGTTTTCCTGATTTTCAAACCCTTCCATCCTTGCTTTTTTAATTTTTTTTGCATCAATATGTTGCGTTTTGACGCACAGTTAATCCCTTAAAAGGAATAAATGATTCCTTTTAGATAAAGTGGAAAACAATATTTCCCATGTTATTTTCCCATAGGAAAAATCATTGCTTTCAGCTAAGTTTGGTCACCCATAATGGGTATCTTTAAAACCCCTGAAGGAATCACTTATTCCTTTAAAGTGATTAACTATGTGTCAAAATGCAACATATTGATGCAAGAAAAATTGAAAAAGCAGGGATGGAAGGGGTTCAAAATTAGGAAAACATTTCCGAAAAAACATGTGGGTGGGTTGTTTGCATCTACCCTGTCTCAAAGTCGAAATTATTTTATCATCTCTAGAAGTGATTTTCCTGGAGGTAATGCATTGGCCTAACATATGCAATTGTTTAAATCCTCAGAAAATGGCCAAAATCCAACATATGACTGTCCAAAATCTGTTGCGCTAACTTCCCTCCTCCTTTAAGATACAAGTCCAAGCAGAACGAACACAGTAGGCTTACTTCATAAATCATCATGTCATTCAATTTCCTCTCTCAATTTCCAAGTTCCGATGCAACGTCCAGTGAATGGCCACATTAGACAAGCATATTATGATATCATATCTTAACTTTTAGAAAAAATCTCCAAGAAGAAGCCGATCGCAGGGTGGACATAGTCAGGACACGCAATCCACGTCTAGCTCGATAGAGGGCACTATGGACGACAATGCTTCATTGCAGAGCGATACGTTATCGCAGTATCTGGACACAGAAGACTCCGCTATGAAGACATACCTTAGTATGGATGTAAGTAAAGCCAATCAGTTGAACTGTACGTATTCAATGTGAAATATATATGATATTGACTCGCCGTACCCCCGCCCCTCTCAAGCATGATTATGTGTAGGCCCGAATTACTTACTTCTTAAAGTTCATATTTACGGAAATTAGAAATTGTATTAAAGACAAGCCACTAATAAACTTCAATTATCGCATACCCTTTAATTATATATGGATAGGCTTATGATAATATTTAATATTAGGGTTTAATTGTGTTTTAGAATTTGTTCTTTGAAGAACGTACATGTTTATTCTGACTTCATATGGTTTTTAATATGAGGATGATTTATCAATACTTATACATGAGTCAACTATAATTTCGTTTGTTACCATACTTCAGCAACAACATATCTCAAAAGAGTCTTCACACACCAAGAAACAATCAACCATGGAGAGAACACAAGATAGATGTCACCCTAATACTAATATAGATCACGTGGCATCATCCAATCAGCGTGATCAAGATACTGGACGTGAAGATGGACTTACTCCTAGGAATCAGGACCATCACGATCCTATCGTACGTAAGCTGCATACAGAAGAGGTTAGTTTACACTGGTACAGTAGATAACTAGTGATCCAATAGCGGACAGTGATTTAATGTACGATGTAAAATAGAAAAGAAAAATTGTTATTCCAATTGTTTCAAACGTTTTTTGGATCTGGATATTCATTTCAGATCAACCTTTAATTTCTGCAGATTCATTATGATATTTACTACAAACACCGTTGTCAAAACATCTTTTATACTTTGCAATAACCTTTTTATGCGTATATTATTAAACCAATTACCGCTATAGATATAATTATGCCATTTTTGGGATCGATTACTATAATACAAACCGATGTATAATACTTTAAAAAGGTTGTAAAATGTAGAAAACTTTCGATTTCAAGGTGACAAACATGTTATCAAAATAAATATCTATGATGACTTAAAAATATAATGATACCCCACATTAAATCAATAGTGAGTGGCCCAATGTTAAGTCAATACATGCTTGCTTTAATCCTCATTTTCTAAGTGAAAGCCCTTTTTACCGGAAAATGTATCATATGAAGAGCATGTGAAAACACTATGCAGGAGTTGGTTTTTGTGGCGGACACCCGGACAACAATCTCCTTATCTAGAGCTCTTAGAAAAATCAGATCTATCAGCACAAATAAAATGTGAAAACATTTGATATTTTCCAGACAGTTCAAGGACTCTACAGGCTGGCCAATATTCTCGTCACACCAAGATCTGACAAGCGTTCTTAGAAAAACCTACTGCTACTCATCTCATCCAAATTTGGGAGCGCCGAGCGTTCCATTGCTTAGTGCTCAAATGTCCTAGAACGAAATCCTAGAACAATAAAATAAAAAATAAAACAAACATTACTTGACCATCCTTCATTCAAAGGACTTCATTTATTACTCAATTCAGAAAGAAAGAAGTGAAATACCCTTGGACCAATAGGATGTACTTGACAACAATACAAATAACTTCAATAATTTGTAATGAACATTGAACAGTACAAATGTTCTTATTGAAGATGGCAAGTCTAAAAAAGTTATGCAAATTAGATTAAAAAGTATATGTGTAGTAGTCTAAAGACTTTAGTACTACAGTCTAGTAGTAACATGTTTAGTTGTAACAGTGTCATTGCGGTCCAATAGCAATTCTCTTGTCCAAATTGGCGGACGAAGGTTCGTATTTGATTCGATTTGCGTCCACTACAAGTTATCGTAAAGTTAGATATGTTCTCACATCGGTAAAAATACCTAATTTTCAGGTATGACATTAAAAAGCGATTAAAAAGTTGATGTGGTTTATACGTCCACCATTTTGGACAACGGAAATTGACATCGCCGTTATCACACTGCACCAGTGTGAATAGTAAAGGGGGAGCAACAGGACCATGAAGATGGGAAAAATGTTCTAAGGGAGCTAGAGCCCCGGCTAGAACAAGAGTAGGAAGAATAGGAAGATAGGGAAAGCATAATCTCACAAGAGGAGCTTAAAACATATACCTATAAACATGGGAAACACATATTTTCAATATAAAATATTTGGTATAACCTAATTACTACCCTACTAAATCATCGTTTATGTCACCACCAGAATTTGTGACATATCGTTTATAGTCGCCAACATTTTGTGGACGACGTTCGGCGGTTGGAGTTCGGCGTCTGTAACAAATGACAAGTGGTGACGTTTTGCATGCATCTTTCTAGTACAACAATCATGAATATTTTGAGTCGTGTGTGATATTACTGTTCTATTGACTTTAAATAAGGTTTTCATCATGATCAACCCTTAAACTCCACGTGTCAACTATAAATATATTTGCTTGTGAACATAAATGTGTTTGTCAGCATGTGGAATCATGGGCGTAGCGCTATTTTTCTAATTCTAAGTAGGACGCCACCACCACAAACGGGAACAAGAGTTGAGTGGTTAAAAAATGAACATTCAGGGGGGTCTGGGGGTTCTCCCCCATGAAAATTTTGAAATTTGGTTGTATTTGGAGCGAATTTGCAACCATCTGGTACGCCTGTGCGTACCCAGCGTACCAGGCGCTACGCCCATGGGAATGTATGTTGACAATATTTTGGATGGATAGTCGAAAATTAGTAAAATTAAGTATTCCAATCTCAATCATTTAACGTGTGACTGGTGGTTGTATACATGGCCATGGCATTTTCACTTCAGCAATATTTTAGACAATCATTAGACAATCAACATGCCACGTGATAAATCAAGAATACTGATCTGTGCAACATGATGAGAATAGAAGTGGTACAGTAGCTGAACGCCGCGTTTACAGAACTGTAGCAGTCATAATACTCTAACACAAGTGGGGGAAAATTATCACACTTTACACGTGTTGTATGTGATAATGTTTTTCGCATTTTTAATGAGGTTTTCTTATGTGTGTATATATTATATATATAATCATTCCTATTGTAATAAAAGCTTCCTCAAACATCTCTAAACTCTGACCAATAGAGATATACATCATTTTGTATAATTTTTGGATACAATTTGTTCAAGCTTGCAACAGTGTATAAATATCCAACGCCATAGTATAACTCCTTACATGTCATCTTTATGGGTCACAAGACCCATAAAATGACATCAAATCCACTTCCCAACCTCTCCCAAACAACTCACAATAGCCATCAAAAAGACTAATATAAAATCCTCTAATAATTCTTAACTACCTAAAAATGCCTAGGCGATTGGTAGTAGATGTTATATGCATTTTCATTTTCAACTATGAAAGGAAAATAAAAACTTTGGTAAAAATATGTTCTTGGAGCTTAAGGATGTTCCCTGGACGAAGTTGAAAACGATGAACACCAACCCCTAATTTTTCTTTTCAAAATGTGAAGTACATAGCATAACTAAGTGTTTCTGTGAGTTTAAGAAAAAGTTAAATATTCAAAAGTGTGTTTTGGGGTGAAAACCTGATTTTTAACATGGGTTTCAATGAGAAAGTGCCACGCCCACTTTTGTCAAATATTGACACTTTAGAGGCCTCTTGCTCAGAAAAAAGCACACTAACATATGGTTTTTAAAGTTTTAATATTCTTTGTTGCCCGTGAGAATCCCAGAAAACCATTTTTGAGAAAAAGTTAAATACTATTGAATATTTTCCTATCTGACCAGGGAACATCCTTAAAGAAAACGGTCTTGACTCATACCAAGAAACATCCCTGAAAGATTGATCGGTTTGGCCGAAAAGTGTAGTGAGGGATTTCATTAGCAGCAAGGAAAAGGCGAGTTTTACCAGTTGTTTTAATGAATTTTACAACAGTTTCCATGTTAAAAAATGTTTTCTTTTCTTTAGCCTGTTGTCTCAGATTATAATGAAGACCATGTTACATTTAAGATTTTAGGAAAATCAAACTGTCCATCATAACATCTACTAATAAAAAACACATAAAAGGACAAGATTTCGGGGTTGAAAAGATATTACAATGTACTCAGAATGACAGCCATAAGACTAAAGAACGACCCTTAAATTTCAGACTGATCCATGAAACGATCCATCCTGGACAAGAGTTACACTGACAAGGATTGGGATTGGAGGAAAAAAATGTTAAATGATTGCCTAAACATTAACCATGAATGCCCAAAAAGTTGAAGAGCTTCATACAAAGTTTCCATATTTTCGGATCAATCCATCAAAGCGATTTGCCTGGAAACGCGTAGAAAAGAACTGACATTTGTAACTTAAATCTTTAATCAGAGTAGACTGGAAGACAAGGGTGATGATAATTTGCTAATACTATAATAGAGCTGTACAAGGCATTAACATGCAAAATGTCACTACCCACCATTTGTTACAGACGCTGACCGCCGAACACCGTCCATGAAAAGGGAGACAATTACAATATGTCACCACTTGGGAAAGTGACATAATACCATATAAAACAAACAGAATAGTAACACATACTTTATAAATCATATGTTTGTCATATACTTTGGAATTTTAGACTTTGTATTCACTTTTTTTATAATCATTGCTTTCATACCTGTGTACATGTATGTAACAGAAGCGTATTCCTGAAAATAACATAATTCTACGTCTACAATATATAACTATAATCTCCCTATCTGATTGGTCAATGTAGGACTATTTGATAAAAAAAAATATAAGAAGTAAACGTATTTTTGAATTAATGAGTATAAACTATAAATGATATATTGCACTGCAAACTGGAACCTCATGGATCTGACCAAAGGGAAGGACTAGCAATGATATAATAAAAAAATATTTAGTCCCCCTTGAGTACATGGGCAGGTAATACCATGCTAGATTATTGCATTACTTATTATTGCACCGGTTATTACATGAAATTTACATTGTTGTATATATAATATATATCCCCTTTGACCAATACAGAAAATGTTTGATGATGATAAGATCCAGGGTGGAAAGGCGTAGAGTATTTCCATTCTAAAAACAGGTAGGTGTAATTTTATTTGACTGGGAACGTTTGTTCATTGTAGTGTTTGCTTACATGACGATCAATGTGCTCATACTGTATCCATTCATGTATTGTGGAATTGATCAAAGAAAAATATCAATTTTGAAAAAAAATATCATTGAAAAACTAGAATTTTGAGTGTTAATTTGGATCAAATGAATGTTTCCCTGATGTACAAGTATTGGGAACAGTTTTTGTCTATTATGTGTATGGCAGATGAGGGAATACTAATAACATTCACTGGTGACAAAATAAAACTACACCTACATCTTTATTACAATAAAATGGCTGTTTTTGTATCTTCTGTTGTACTTCTTGAAAATACTCTAAACATTTCCACTGCCTAAGATCATAACACCATTACTCTATTAGGGATGGTGCTTTAATGATAAGTTCATGACCACTATACATGTAGCTTCCACATTCTTTTGATTATAGTGTAACATACTATGATTAGATATAGGGGCTATATTAAAGAATCATTTTCTATGTATAGAGTGTACATGAGGCCATGCTATTTTGCAGGTAGTGCTATATAAATTTCTCCATTTGTAAGCAGATCAGCAAGGAGTGTTGCTCATGTTGTCCTACTTTTCACTAAGCCTGGTAATTATCTTGGCATGTTGGGGGAACTTTTCAATCAATTCCTCTTTGCTCCCACTCTCATATAGATCAGGATGGAAACCTGGAACAAAAAATAAAACCACATTTGAAACAATCGTGATGTAACAATCATTTTACCTTAAGCGACCTGCAGAGACGTCTAGACAGGTCTAGACAGTGTATAGAATTATGAAACATGAACAAAACAAACATGTGCCAGATCATTCTTTTTCATGTTTTGTCTTCATTCTTATTCTTAGCCAGATTCCCCCAGATAGCCACACATATTGTTATCTTTAAGCTTGGCCTATAATGCCTTTTTGGAGATTGGCAAGCCATCTGATGTAAAATAAGATTTATGAAATAAATAGATTACCATATAAAAAAATTCTTATCTTTTAAGTTCAAATTGTAAAAGCCATCAAAAACCTTTTGGCACTTTACACTTTACCTTTACTTCCCTTTATAATGCAATGTCATTCTACATTAATTTGCTCTAGCAACTGGTCATGATATATTCAAAATGTTAATGATAAGAAGGTGACAGTGAGACAAGAACTTCATACAGATGATAATGAAATAGCATGATTGAAGGACTACGTTGTATCTCAATGACGTTATTTCTTCTATTATATCCGCTTCTTAATAACAGCAAATATGTAAGTAATTAGAGGTCTGGTTGTCGTCATAATCAAACATGGCCATAATTCAAACCACAACCATGGCCACCATTCATAAAATCATAATTACAAAAATGTAATAATGATCATGAAATTGTAGTTTGACCTTGTCCATAATATCATATTTGGCCTTTTCTTCCAACAGAGGTGTATATAATAATATATAATTGTCCCTCATGCTATCTACAGTAGTTGTAATTATTACATTATTATCAATGGTAATAATCATACTATACAACAACCTACAACTTTCCTCTGACCTTCCTTTGACAGGAATGTATTTCTGACTAGTACAGAGTGAGCCAAAAATGATAACCTAAACAAATCTTAATAACCGTCATCAAGCATGGATTTAAAATCTTTTTTTTAAATTTAAAGTCATATTTGACACAATTAAACTTTGTTCAATGTTCTTTCATTCTATATGAGTTTCATTGGTCTATTTTTAGAAAACATGCTCAAAATGAGGAAACATGCCAAAATTATCCGATAGGAATCCCTGAAAATTTATATTTGGAGCTATTTCAAAGATATTGATGTCCACACTTACAACTCTAAAAGCATGTGTGTTCATGGGGCTAGTGCAACCTCCCCCCCCCCCCCCTTCGCCTCAAATCCACCTTCTGTGGGAACAACTCCCTTTCCTGAAAGATCAATGAACCCAAGACTGGGAACGAACACCACTCTCAGAATGATGACTATTTTTGCAAGAGCAATGAATCACACATCCATACTATCTCTATGATGATGCACTATATTCTGTTATTTGATTGGTTTGTTGAAAGCGTTTCTGTTATGTGAACCCCCCCCCCTTGCCCTTCCGTTAAAACACAAACCCCCAACAAGGGAAAAATGGAAGCCCCCTTGATAATAAACAAATAGTGACTCTGTAAACTAAAACAAAATGAGAAGTCTTTTCATTTCAACATTTAATGTAGACAGGGTCTTATTGGCATTTAAAGGTATTTTGCCTTTCAACTCCTATAATCTCAGCTATCAGGGAAGATAAAACATACTAATGACTGGTCACATGACCTAACTGGTGATTAGTACATTTCATCTTCCCTGATAGCAGGGATTTAGAACTTTGCAGGGAATTAGTTCATCTATTCCACATCATGTGACCATGAATAGGCCAATGCCTCCAGAGACAACACTGGGATTTTGAGGATGTTTTGTAAAATAGTCATAAATTGTGATCACTTGAGCGAGGCCAATGAAATTTAGTGGAATGTAAGAACATTGAACAAGGTTTAATTGTACCTAATATAATTTTTAAACCATGCTTAATGACTGCTTGATGACATTTGTTTGGCTCACCTTGTATAATCATATTTATATCACCTTTTTAATCTACATTACAGTATTTTCTATATCAACGAAAAATATTATCAAGATGTAATTTTACAAGAAGAAGCACATGTACATGTATGTACAGGTTCCAAAGAAAGAATTTTAAATATTTGAAAATTTTGTAATCATATTATGTGAATATATAAAATAATACATCATTTAATAGACGGAAATTAAACTTGCAAGCCATTTAAAATAAAGATATTCCAATTAGTTAACTAACCAGAGGATTACTGATATAAGTCAGATCTGTTGGAATTTGTTTTAGAATATAGGCAAGGCATGGAACAATGGGAGTAAAATGTAAAATCGTATTACAATTTTCTCAAACCACATTCTCGAATGATTGATTTCCATTCTTTTTAGTCCCTTTTATAACTAACCTGGGCTTATAACTTCACTGTAAAGACCATAAGCCCCATCATGTTTCTGGGCTAATTCAATGGCATACCAACAGCGCTGAGGTATTTGTACCTGGTAGTTGTGGCCATCTAAAGGGCGACCCAGGTTGATACATGTGTAGTCACCACAAGCGCTGATCTGATGTACCTAGTAATAACAAAATCGAATATACGTATTCGCCCATAATGGAATCACACCCTTGTTGGTTATACATGTATAGTACATCAATCAAATCACAAACTCTAAAACTTTTATGGTCAATTGGAAAGCATACTAGTACAGTATATTCATCTCATGCTTTTATAATATTCGTTGGATACTGTCATTAAAAGTATCAGTGAACACATACCACAAATGCCTGGGTATGTGTCACCTAATGTTAGACTACATGATTGTACTACACTATACCACTCTCAGTCCATTTGCATAGTTGTATTACACACAAATTTCTATCCCAATTCATGATTGCAGAATGAACAATTACATAACCTCCACCTCATACTATAGATTTACCATTGAACATTACATGTACCTGAAGTGAACCTATTAAAAGGTCAATTTAGATGCTAATAAAGGACCCACGGTTCTGTGCTCACACAGTTTGGAACCTTCAGAGGAATATATACCCTGACTTTCAAACAAAAATATTGATTTGGATTTGTAGTCTCCAACTTTGAGAAACTTAGATAGCACAGTTGTGTGACCTAGTTTGATGACCTTGACCTTGAAAATTTTACTTATTCAGAGCTCACTAAGGTATTTTGTGATTAAGCTGAGGAAAATTTGCATCCAAAAATCAATTTGAAAAATCAACTTTTTGACCTTTCGAAGGTCGCTGAAGGTCAAGTAAAGGTCAAATCCTAAAACTAATGTCAGATTGCAACTCCAGGCAACTTGTAGATGATTTTCAAAAAAAATTGAGGCAAGTTGAAAAATAACTTATTTTTACTGTTTTTTGACGTCAAATATCTCAAAAACGGTAAAAATTTGATGCTGACATATATTGGGCAATATGTAGGAAATGCTTAAATCTAGTAATGATGTAATTCATTGCAAGAAATGATCAAGTACAAGGCAAACTTTGAGAAACTTGTCAATCACAAAACCTGCTATTGACTTTACACATGAGAAAGTTAAGTCCTACTTTTTGTCAAATTTTATAGAGTAAACACCAAAAACTGTAATTCCAAGAGCTTTGAAATCTTCAGAGGACATAAGTTGCATATACAGCAACTACTCAAAGTTATTTGAAAGTTCTACTTCAACAAAGTGTCTAACATTAACAAAAATTTGCCTTTTGGACGTCAAAATCAGCAATTTCTCGGAAACCGGGCGAACTTGAAAAATGGCAATGATAGGTCAAATAGGCATTATGGATATGCATAAAATGAATGTGAATATGACTAAATCCGAATAGCAGTTTTAATTTGTGCGGCCAATGTTGACGGACAGATGGACGGACAGACCAACTGACTGATGGACGCCTGGTCGATCCCATGGGCTCACTGTGTGAGCCAAAAACAATCTAGTCCAATCTTCAATAATATACTCTATTCACCTAAATAGGACCTACAGATAGGCTGGAACATGTACCTCATATACCTCATTCATCAATTCTTACTTTTATGGGAGAACCTTCATGGAAGAAGAGCAGTTCATCTGCAGCTATGGTGTGCCAGGAGAGATATTCCTCCCCTTGGAGCAACATATAGATGGAGCTAGCAGCAGGTAAGTCCAAACTGAAACAAGAACATTGGAGAGATTCAACTAATATGCCATCTATACCATATCTTTTAATTGCTTTCATTTTCCTCTGATTGACAGACATTTCCGATAAATCTTGCCATAGTTTGATCAATCAGGGAAACTAAAACTTATTGGCTAGATTGATGATGTCATTGGTCATAGGCGTAGGGTTATGTTTTGAGTTGGTACGCACACTCCGGGATGCCTGATTGCGTGACCGAAGGCCGCGCATTGCGGGGGGTCAGGGGGTATGCTCCCCTGGGAATTTTTTTTTCAAGGACGTTATTTGATGGAATCTAAGCATTTTCCTCAACTTTAAATGATGACAATGGTCAAAATACAGATATGATAGGAAGCATCAATAAATTTGCAAATAAATGAATGCATTTTAACACATTTTTAATTTTTTCAAATTCATTTGGTACGCCTGTGCGTATTTTGCGTAATAGGTGCTACGCCCATGTTGGTTGTAGGTAGCAAACTACCCATTCAAAAATGGTATTAACTTTTTGCTAATCTTATAAAAGTACAACCTATGACATCATCAATCTAGCCAATACTAGTATATTGTGGTTTCTCTGATGGATCAAAAGATAGCAAGATTTATCGGAAACGCCTATTCAGTCAGTTACTGATCTACATAATTATACAGGTATGAATCTGTAAATCTTTAATTCTTTGAATTCCTCCAAAAATAAAATTTGACATAAAGAGGAATGGACTATAAGGACTAAAGTACCTTGACATTTTACAAAAAATATAAAGAATTTGCTTGCTTTTATCTCAAACAATATAACCCCCTCCAATGCAATGGCTAAATCAATCATTCTTTGAGAGGAATGTTGATAGAAGCCAGTTTTGAACCAATACAATGAACCTCATTCTGCCAAAAATGTTTTCTGACATTCACAATCCTCCTCATTCTCCCAGCCTCAGACACTAAGATCTGGCAATAAAGTTTTAAAGACTCGTCCCGGCAGACAGACAGACAGACAGACAGACAGGCAGACAGACATCTTGTAATATATAAATAAACTGTCCCACATGTTCTGTCAAAGAGCAACAGAAGCATACAATCTTTCCACAAAGTTTAATTCAGACTAACAGTTGGATATCTACAGACGGACAGACAAGTAAGTGATTGCAATAGTTCGTCATGTGAGCTAATAAGCACAACACCAGCAACGCCAAAGCGTAGCGAATCCCATCGAACAGAAACTACCCAAAATGTCATAAGACAGTATGCAATCCTGATGAGAATTCACATATCAAATATGAACAAAATCGCTTTATTACTTTTTGAGTTATAATAAAAAATGTAAAATAACATAAAAATGGTGGCCATTTTTCAAAATGGCCGACTACTCCCCAAAGTTTTATAAGACAATGTGCCATGCTTAAAGTATTCACATATTAAATATGAACAAAATCGCTCCAATACTTTTCGAGTTGTAGTAAAAAATGTAAAAATGACAGCCATTTTTTAAAATGGCCGCCTACTTCGCGAAGTGTCATGAGACAGTGTGCAAGGCTCATGAGTATATATCAAATATGAACAAAATTCGCTCCACTACTTTTCAAGTTATAGTAAAAAACGTAAAAATGGTGGCCATTTTTCAAAATGGCCACCTACTACTCAAAGTGTCATTAGACAGTGTGCCATGCTTAAAGCATTCACATACCAAATATGAACTAAATCTCTACACTACTTTTTGACTGCAGTAAAAAATGTTAGATAACACATGTAAAAATGGCAGCCATTTTTCAAAATGGACACCTACTACCCAAAATGTCATTAGACAGTGTCATTAGACATTCACATACCAAATATGAACAAAATCACTACACTACTTTTTGACTGACAGTAAAAAATGTTAAATAACACACGTAAAAATGGCAGCCATTTTTCAAAATGTCCGCCTACTACCCAAAATGTCATTGGACATTGTGCCATGCTTAAAGTATTCACATACCAAATATGAACAAAATCGCTCCACCACTTTTAGTTATAGCAAAAATCATAAAGTGACGTGCAAAGGCAGCAAATTTTCAAGATGGCTGCCATGTATTTCTTCTTTATTTACATTTCTAGCTTAATCAAAGTCCTATATAACTTTTTTACATTTAAACATATTGCTTAATTACAGTTTTATATGCAGTACCTAAATTACTGTAAAATCGGCACTAAAACGGCCACTATTTTTAAATGAGCGGCCATATTTAAAATTGGTTTTCGAGCAGAACTTCTAACCCCATTGGGTATATGTGTACAAAATATGAATAAAATTGGGCCAATGGTATTTGAGTTATTGCCCGGACGGACAGACGGACAGACGGACGGATGGATGGAGACATTCCCTATACTGTATCCCTCTGAACTTCGTTCGATGGGATAATAAACTACATACATGTAAACAGACACAAACTCTACCTTTTATCCTGTTCTGTACTGGATTGTTTATTCCTTTTAGCGATGAATCCTAACTTTAGTTTAGATGTGTATTTTAACTTTAGATTGCCAGCCACTGTATGGGGTTCTAACCCTAGTGCTTCAATCAGCCTCTGTGCAGGGGTAGATTTTGTAGGTTCACTGACATTGTCCTCTTGTTGAACTGGTTCAATACTGCCATTATTCATAGGCTAAATGGGAAATATAAGCACAAAAATTACAATACACTGTATGTAACTGTATTCAATAACATAAATATTTGATTCCCTCTCAACTATAAACCATAATTATTTTAGCTAAGTATAATGTAATTTCGTAACGCCATATTGAGCAAAAATTGTCAAATTCCTAACATGAACTGAGAGTAACAATTTTCTGAAATAGATGTGCTTTACCATGAGGCATCAGTCTACAAAATATGCATTTCCATCTGATTTAAGAGCTGGTAAGACAGACAGGCAGACAACTAAACTGTACATGAAAGAAAGAAACAAATGAAAGAACAAACATTTTTCACTGAGATAAGCAAGTTCTCTTGAAAGCCCATGATAAAATATAGGGGAATTGCTCCAACATTAAATGTTTAGCTTTTTGGTGTTTCAGAGAAAAAAAGTTAAGACAGTTCCTGATTTCAATGCACATCCTTTTAACTAATGCAATAGGCCCGTCCAAAGATTTCCCAAGAAGGGGGTTGACTTTTGTGTCTGAATGGATTGGGCCACTGATACATGCACGCAATGCAATAGATTGCACATGTACATGTACAATGCACCTGTAAAACTAATTATTGTTACCTCATTGGCAGTCATATACTGACAAACAGCCCGGCATAATCTCTTGACTCCTTCCAGCAATGGTTCCAGTTCATAATATGAAAATGATATCCTGATGCAGTTGCCATATTTACCAGTTGGAGTGCACCTGAAATGTAGGTTATGTTTTTTTGTGTGTTAAAAACACTGCGTGCAACTCTAGCGTTTAAAGGGGTATTCCTTGCCAGACCATCTCTCTCCTAATATGGTAGCTATAACCATATACATACTTTGCAAGTTTATCAAATAACAGAAAAATGTTTTGAAATGGTCAATATTGATCACTAAAAAATGTAGTGCTCAATTCCAGTAGGCTGCCATCTTTTAAAATTTCACTCAGGAAGTGATGTCATCGACTCTCAACTTTTCATATAACATAGGTAAGGAGCTATTAGAATTACTAAACCAGCTGAATATTTTTTTCAATTTGGTCTATGATTAAAATCCTTTTGATGATCTCTTCTTTAGTTCTAAGTTGACAACTCCTGAAAATATTTTTACACAGAAGATAGGGGCTTTTTGTTTAGAAGTGATTTTGTACTTCTCTCCTATACTGTAATAGACAAGGTTATAACAGATGAGAGTCGATGACATCACTTCCTGAAAGAAATCTGAAAAGATGGCAGCTTACTGGGAATGAGTACTACATTTTTAAATGATCAATATTGACCATATGAAAACATTTTCCCGTGTTTTGCTAAATATGTAAAGAATATATATGATTGTAGCTACCATATCAGGAGAGAAATAGTCTGGCAAGGAATGTTCCTTTAAGTACCACAATCTTAACAATTGACATACCATATTGTGAAAATTAGAAAAACACTGTGAAAATTATAAAGACAATGTGTGAAAATTGAACATTAAAAAGGTTAAACATCCTAGCCAAGAATGGTTAGTCATTGTTACCATACTTTTGTAGGGGGTGTAACTCTCATACAATAACATATCTTGTACCTTGTCCCAGGAAGAAATGTCACATTATACTGTTCTTTTGCCATCAAGACCAACTGGACAGCGTCACACCAGAGAGGGAGCTCTATCCAAATGAAGTATCCTCCCTTGGGCTCAGACACAACAACAGTCTTGGGGAGTTTCTCCTTTAAGAGGGCAATCACTGCAGCCAAACGACTCTGAAAAATGTTTAACAGAATGTTAACCAGAACAACAGCAACGCCAAAGCGTAGCGAATCCCATCGAACAGAAATGGCTGGCATTTTTACAAACGAATGGCAAATATCATAAAACAACACACCAGAAAGGCCACCATTTTTAAAGTGGTTGCTCAGTAGCCAAGTTGTCATCAGGAGAAATAATATGCTTTTAAGAAGCCACCTCTAAAATTTTGAAAAATCGCACACGTACTAGTAAAATAACACACATAAAAATGGTGGCCATTTTATAAGACAATGTGCCATGCTTAAAGTACACATATCAAATATGAACAAAATCGCTCGACTACTTTTCGAGTTATAGTAAAATACATTAACATGACGGCCCTTTTTCAAAATGGCCACCTTCTACCAAAAGTGTCATTAGAAATAGACAGTGTGCGGTGCTTATAGTATTCACATACCAAATATGAACAAAATCACTCCACTACTTTTCAAGTTATAGTAAAATATGTTAAAATGGCGGCCATTTTTTAAAATTTTTTCAAAATGGCCACCTTCTACCAAAAGTGTCATAGGACAGTGTGCCATGCTTATAGTATTCACAAATTTGAACAAAATCGCTCCACTACTTTTCGAGTTATAGTAAAATACGTTAAAATGGCGGCCATTTTGAAAAATGGCCGCCTTCTACTAAAAGTGTCTTTAGACAGTGTGCAATGCTTATAGTATTCACATATCAAATATGAACAAAATCGCTCCACTATTTTTTAGGGATGGGACGGTTCGTTTCGGTTCGGTTCGGTTCGGTTTTTCGGATCATCAGCCGTCGGTTCGGTTTTTTCGGTTCGGTTCATTCATTTTAAGGATTTGTATTGATTGACATGATTAGCTGCTTTGTCTCTGACTTCACTGCTGACTGTCACTTTCTTTTAATAAGACTCCATATTTGAATGTATTGTGGGTGCCCACAAAATAATACCCTATATCGAACCTGCGCAAATCTTTGTATCAATTATGCCACGTTATAACAATATTTTATAGATTGAATTTTATGTTATAGTATTTCATGAACAATACATATTATTTAGAATACACGACTAAAGAATATAGTACCAGGGACCACATGATTGATTACCGAGGGATAAGAATACGCGGATACGAAACGAATCTAGTAAACGAGTGAGCTAGCAACAGACAAGACAGACAAGGTAGGGACTAGGAATATCAAAAATGTTGCTGTAAAACAGTGTTTTTAACTGTTTTATTGATACTTGACCAATGAAATATTAATCCGAAAACGATCCGAAAAGCTGATCCGAAAGTAGGGCCATGATCCGAAAACCGATCCGAAGGCTATGAACCGCGGTTTTTTCGGTATTTCGGTTATCCGTCCCACCCCTACTATTTTTTGAGTTACAGCAAAAATCGTAAAATGACGAGTAAAGGCAGCCATTTTTCAAGATGGCTGCCATGTGCTTCTTTAATATCTACATTTGTAGCATTATTAATGTCCTTTATAATTTTTTTACATTTAAAACATATTGCTATTACAGTTTTACATATTGCACCTAAATTACTGTAAAATCTGCACTTAAATGGCCGCCATTTTGAAATGAGCGGCCATTTTGAAAATCGGCTTTCGAGCAGAACTTCTACCCCCATAGGGTATATGTGTACAAAATATGAACAAAATCGGGCCAACGGTATTTGAGTTATTGCCCGGACGGACGGACGTATGTACGGACGGACGGACGGACGGAGGCGTTCCCTATATCCCTCCGAACTTCGTTCGATGGGATAACAAGGCATTTATGTGACAAAATGTCACCACCTTGCAAGTTATTGCAAAATGTTATGATGCCGCAAATTGTTAGATGCCAAACCCAAATTAAACACAATTATACATACATGTAAAACTATAAAAAGAATGAAAAATCATCTGGATTAGAACTTGAGGATGTTACTTGGACAACCAATGAATCATGAACTGTACCTGTTCAACCATTCATATTAATAAAAAAATAAAAATAAAAAAATATAAAAAATATTTGCAGCGATTTATTGACTCACGCCATATTTCTTCCTCAATTTGTCTATATGGGCTGCTTGAAGTCCCTCAGTCAACACTGTAGTCATCAGACCAGATACCAAATGGTTCTTTGAGCCACCACTGTCGCTGTATGAGCTACAAAACAGTTAGTTTTCATCATGGTGGTGGTAAATATACTTGTATTGTCTTTATTATATACACATACGTACAGTTCATGTATACTACGTACTCCTATATGTATTTTTGTACTAAATTCATATTTCAATGTACATGTAATCATATAAAGCCAGGATTCGCCAGGGGGGTTCACATTTGACAATTTAGGCCCAAATACATGTATGACTAAAATCACTTGAGAAGTGCTCAAAATGGTGAAAACTACATGATTTTGAAAGCTACTTTAGACCCTATCAATGAAATCCTATCCCATTTACTTGACTTCTCAGCTCTTATTTCCATGTTGTTAAATTAACCTTGTATACAGGGTGTCAAATAAGTCCCGTCCCCCCTGCTACAGCTAAAACCATAACAGTAGGTACCTAGTGTGATATACCATTGGAAAGATCATCCAAAGTTATGTTAACTCACCAACTCTCAAGTATTTTGGATGAAATTTACCTATATTTTTATGATGTCTTTTAAAATTAACGTGCCCTCCTTTAAGTAGCTTTTTTGCGTCAAAATGACAAGGATATGACCTCAGAAATACATCTTTTTCACATTCCACTTGTTACACAAAGGTTTTCACCACTTTCCTTGCACCTCTATTTTCTACACATCTAACCCTGTCCAGAAATAGGTTAAATTCATCGCCATAAACATATTAAGTCATATTTTGGTCCCGTGACCTTTCTTATATACGATTCTTAAAATCGTGCCAAATACGCCAAATTGCCATGTTTCTAGGCATATGGTCACCTCAATTGATACAATGCAAAAATTTCTGAGATTGATTGACATGTGTCAGATATATGCTAATCAACGTAACTTTGGAAGACCTTTCCAATGATATATCACACTTGGTACCAAATATCTTGGTTTTGGCTGTAGAGGGGGGGACGGGACTTATTTGACACCCTGTATAAGTTGCATTTGATCCTAAACATGACATCTATATATACATCTAGTAGGTTTATGTTCACCTGCCTTTTTACAAAAAGGTTGATGATCCTGTTTGAAGCTTCAATCCATCCCAACCTCACACCTGGTCCAAACAGCTTGGAGAAGGTTCCACAGGATAACACGTGCCCTTGAAAGTCAGGATCCGTTCTGAAAGTACATTTAAACACTTAGAATATGTCTGTAAATATAATCAGAGGTTTTGTTCGACTTTCTAACAACAAGTAAAACAAGGCATTAAAATGCAAAATGTCACAAACTGCCATTTGTTACAGACACCAACCACCCAACGGTGACTACTGAACTATTGAATCAGAAGTTAATGAATTTGTGCTTTGTTTAAAAGAAAGTTTAAGTCTACTATCATAATGCCAAAAATTACAAAACATATAATCCTTATAAAAAACATCACATAGTTTCACATCGGCTGACTTCATTTGTCTGCCACATATATCTCAAGAATAATTCTTATGTTTGATTGGTTGCAGAATTGTTCACATTCAGCTACCTTATTTACAGATCTAAAAACTGCTCTAATCTGAAGCCTGAACAGATTAAATTCAATTGTTGCTATTGTGAAATATCACACTTAGTTCAAAGATCATAAAAACAACTGCAATATTAATATAACATAACTAACAAGATTCCATAACAAAATAGGATATGGAGAAGACAATAATTCACAGTGGAATAGCCTGACAACGGTAATGTCAGATATAAAGTCTTTAATTAAACCTATCAAAATGAGATACGGGACAACGGACACTGTAATTACCATATGCCGTTGTCTTTCTAAATTACTCAAATTCAGATTCCCTTGTCATTGACGATATCGAAGATGCTATATTGTGGCGATTCACGACCCAATTTGATTGAAATTGGGATTTCATATGAAACATCATCACAAGAGCTTAATTCATGCACAGAATTAGCGACGATGAAATCCCATGAAATGAAAACCAAGTGATTAAACAGTTGAAGCGACACTTATGTCCGCCACTTGTGACAAGGGTATCTGACTCTACTGTTGTCAGGCTATTCTGGTGTGATAATTATAAACATGAAATTGTGGGAAAGATCACAATGACATTAAATTAAGGAAAAAACATATAAGGCAAAATAATTACACTGACACATGGAGTCCACTGTGACTTTGTCACAATAGTTATTGTAGCCATATTTTCCTGTGTTTTGTCTAAAGACTATGATGAGAGCCATGTCAAGTATGAATCTCAGAACAGTAAAACCTGTCAAAGTGGAACAGCTTTTGGACCTTTAATGTGTTTCACTTGGGAAGTATTCCCCTTATAAAAGTTCATCTAACACAATGACAGTTGGTCTTGGGACTCTGCAAATGTTCCACTAACAGAGGTGTTCCACTTTTAGATAACACTTCTAGATGTGGATGTGTTCCACTTAACAAGTTTTACTTTACAGTAAAACCAGTCTGATTAAACAGTTCTCTATAAGGAAAACAGAACCTAATGCCATTGACTTAAATGTTAATGTCTTCTCTGTAAGGAACACTTGTAAACAATTTTACAGTATTTCACAAAAAGAGGAGCAAAAATCTTACTCTTTGTCATAAGTGAGGAATCTTGGTGGTATGGTATCTTCATAGTACAATATGTTGTAGACATCATCACAGAACAACAAAGTGTTAAACTTCCTAGCCAAGGCAACTAATTTCTCACACCTATCTAAAATAGATGTCAAATACTTCTTTTATCCCTTGGAACATGTAATGATAATCAACAGAGAACACACATGCAAGAAAACATGCAATATACAGGGTGTCCCGAAAGTATGCCCCCCCCCCCCTAGGCAGACATATACCAGTGTTTTCATAGTATGTGTCATATATCATTTTAAAGCTTATCAAAAGTTACATTGATTTGCCAAGAATCATGGTTCAACTCTCAAATGTGAAAAAATTACAGGCATTTTAAAATTTAGTGTTTGGCCAAAATCAAGTTCAATTTTACACCAAAACACTGCCCAATGTGTTCTCCCGGGCCATTTTAACAGCAGCAATTATTTTCGTGTCAGATGGATATTGAGTTGGAAAACGAAAATGGTGAGGGTAGATACTCCAAGAAAACTCTTCTAGAAGTGCCTTATAGGTTTTAAGAGGATTAGAAAATTCCAATGCCTTATTTGAAGTGCTTTTAAGGTCATATCTGAAAAGAATTGCTGCTGTAACATGGCCAAGAGAGGACACATTTACTAGTAATGAAGTGTAAAATTTAACTTTATTTTGGCCAAACACTAAATTTTAACTTTTTCCCATTTGAGAGTTGAACCATAATACTTGGCAAATCAATTTAACTTTTGATAAGCTTTAAAATGATATATGACACATACTATGACGACACTGGTATATGTCTGCCTAGGGGGGCCCCTATACTTTCGGGACAGCCTGTACACTGTACAGTTTGCAAATTGCAGGTTAAATTCAATAAAATACTTGTAAAAATCTAATATGTGATAGATAGTCACTGTACTCACCAGGAGGCAAACATCCTCCTTTTGGATTATTGTATGTTGGAATAAAGTACAGCATACTCCGAAACATTTTGGGGCTTGTCATGGCATTAGTGGATGAAGATAGATGGAGCTCCAACAGTTTCTCAAATTCATCTACTAGTAATCCCTTATCATCTGTTGGCACTGTGAAAGAAGTTTAGAATGTGTTCATCTCCCTTCGATGTAATAAAAAACAACTAGAATACATCTTAAATATGTGTTCTTGTACATTTGTTAACATGAAAGTCAAGGGAGGTAAAAACATAACCAATCGCTTGGTCTAATTATGCTAAACACATATATGGATAATAACATCACTAACTATGTCGATGATAAATGCAAGACGGGCAAAACACAGTTTAATGCCGTTCTTGGAATTGGTACTAAATGTGGAGGGCTGTTCTCACTTCAGCATGTCAGATATATATATACAAGACATATTCCATACCTTGCATGACATATGGCGCTCCAATTATTAACAAGGCATTAACATGACAAAATGTCACCACCTAGTTGCTCACAATATTATGAGTTCAATCTTAAGTAAGATTTGAATTTCTGAGAACTTGTAGATGATTTTGAAAAAATAAATTGGACAATTTGAAGCAAGTTAAAAAAGACCCTTTTGACCCTGAGAAGGTCATTGAAGGTGAAATGTCAAATCTAATTGTCTGTTTGTAAATGTATATATACAGGGTGTTCCAAAAGTAACAGGACTGGTGCTGGTATTTTGTTAAATATGCACCAATCATCTTCAGAATTTGACATAATATACTTTTATATATTGTAACTAAAACTGCACAGTTTAAACAAAAATGATGAAACTCAGGTAGAGTTATGGTTGCTATGGTAACATGACATCACAATACCCGGGGCAACATTCCACGCATAAAGTTTCACAGATTTTAAGCATTTGGTACATCCCATATCAAAGTTGAAATGCAACAACTGGTACGAATTACATTGCTTTACATCATTTGATATTCCTATATATCCTCTACTTTGAAAAGTATGCTCCTATTTGATCAGCACAAGAGAAGCACTCTGTATCCATAACTCAAACACATGAATGAACCCATTTGAGGACATCGCAGCGTCGTCGATTGGACAACTTGGAGAAGGTCATTCTCATTTTTAAAGGTCTTACCACACTGATTAGCATTCCATTCTCTGTAGAAGTAAAAATTAGATACTGTGCAGAATTGACAAAACACCAGCACCAGAGTCCTGTTACCATTTCGCCCCTTCCCAGTTTGCCCCTTCCCATTTTGCCCCTCATTTATTCCCATTTGACCCCTTCCCATTTCGCCCCTTCCCATTTTGGCCCTTTCCCAAATTGCCCCTTTCCCATTTCTCCCCTCTTCCATTTCGCCCCCGTCCCATTATGCCTCTTCCCATTTCGCCCCTCATTTCCCCTTCGCCCCTTCCCATTTCGCCCCTTCCCAATTGGCCCCTTCCCATTTCGCCCCTTCCCATTTCGCCCCTCATTTATTCCCATTTCGCCCCTTCCCAATTGGCCCCTTTCCCATTTCGCCCCTTGTTCATTCCCATTTCGCCCCTCATATATTAAAAAGTAAAAAAATACCTAGATACTGACCTTTGACCTTGGAATGACCTTGACCTTAGTTCACTTAATCATGGGTCATAGAGGTTCACAACAGCCCCAACGACCTTAAATCAGGCAAAGGGGCAAAATGGCAAAGGGGCGAAATGGGAAAGGGGCTAATTGGGAAGGGGCAAAATTGGAAGGGGCCAATTGGGAAGGGCCGAAATGGGAATAAATGAGGGGCGAAATGGGAAGGGGTGAAATGGAGAAGGGGTGACATGGGAAGGGGCGAAATGGGAATAAATGAGGGGCGAAATGGGAAGGGGTGAAATGGAGAAGGGGCGATATGGGAAGGGGGCAACATGGGAAAGGGGTGAAATGGCAAAGGGGCAAAATGGGAAAGGGGCCAATTGGGAAGGAGCGAAATGGGAATAAATGAGGGGCGAAATGGGAATAAACCTTTTGGAACACCCTGTATATCTTATTTTTTACTTAGTTCATGTAATTTACAATGTATTTACCTATTTAAAAATATCAAATGATAACATTTCGACTGAGTAATTGAGTCAGTGTGAACCCCCAGGGTCAACCAGGGGTTCCTTGATTCATAGACAGTATTATCATTATGGTTCTGGAATGTCAGTTACACTGTATGAATACAGTTTGGCAACGTCAACGCAGTAGCCTGGCGTTAGTCAACAAAGATGTGTTGTCTGCTTGTAAATATACTTTTTTTCTTAAATTCATGTAATATACACTGTATACATGTATCTCCTTTTTCATAAAGGCCAATAAAGATATACATACATACACATAACTGATTTTTGCACATTGAACCTTTCTGAAAACTGTGTATCTGTAGATTAGATTAGTATGGCTCAAGCTTCTGATCTGACATAATAATTTAAAGATTTAAACCTGTCTTCAGATAGGGACTAAACTGGCTCTGGTCTGAATATACATGTGTGAACACTAGTGTTGTCGCGATTAATCGATACACCGTGATATACATCGCCAAAGCTAATTCTGGCGATGCATCGATGTCTGAAACAAAACATCGATGTTTTTAAAAAAAATTTTATTTGCTAAAAATCACCCTTTCTTATCTTATTTTGACGTAAATTGCTTACCTTTCTCATGACTTATTTCATTTTCCAATGTTTTCTGATATTCTTTCACTTTAAAACTGCTTTAGCTAGTCGAAATGAACCATTAATCTAAAAAAATTACTTTTACTTTCATTTCACCGTTACTAGAAGTTCCCGGATGTACCAGCATACTCTTATTAATTTGTTCTGTTCGGTAATATAGTGCATTAGCGTTCGGTATTTCAGTGCACTTTTCTCGGACTTTTTCTCGATGTACATGGCGATGTGCATCGATGTTTACTGCTGAACATTGCCGATGCATCGATGTACGATTATGGCACATCGCGACAACACTAGTGAACACAATGATTTGTGTTGGCTTTGACTGTGACAAGGAAAAATTCTGATTACTCCAAAGTATCAACCAGCTTTCCTCCTTAGCATGAATCAGTTTTCTTTTGAGTAACAAGCAAAATAAGCCCCTCCCTAGTGTCTGTCGAAAAGTTTACTAGACTCATCCAAAACACACATAATTGAAAACTAGCAGACAGGACATGTTCAAATACAGGCTAGTGAGTGCTACATAAGTTCAATATATTTACCTGGGACAACATTAAGGCCAAGATCATCCCTCAGTAGATTGATGGCAATGAAGTAAGTAGGATCCTCAATAAATACTGTGTCACCCGTGTTGAACAACAGACTGGCTGTCAAATAAAGTCCCTGACTTGCTCCTGTTGTGAGATAGAGGCTGGATCTGGAAAAACATGTTTGATTTATTTCAAGAGAATTAAGCCACAAGTGGTTTTATTTGAAAAGCAAAACAAGGGAAACTCCTAAAATTAAACAATAAACCATTATAAAGTTTTTCATTAATTAAACAAGCTATTTGTACATGTACATGCATACTTGATCAAATAAATATAATTGTTTGATTATTTTGTTTCAATGTCTTAGAATCCTTATGAGTACATGTATAGTATCAAAATTAGACAATTAAAAAATATTCCTTACTCTTTTACTGTGTCCTTATATTCAGTTGACAGAAAAGTGGCAAGAGCCTTCTTGAATGGACCATCTCCAGAAGCAGGGCCATATTGAAACAAATACATTGCATCTGACTCTTCCTGGAATACAGATATTAGCAATTAACCAAACTGTTGCTAAATTACTTAATTACAATATGAACTGCATCACTGTCACCTTCATCTTCTGACATCAGTTTGAAAAAACATTAGAACATGGGGAGGATGTGCAAGAAGGGTCCAACACATAAACTTTTACCAGTTCAATATCCTATTAAGTGATTTTTGGGCATTTTCAAGTGTTTGAATCAATAGAATCAATCAAAAGAAATTCTGAATTTTTTTCAACTGTTTTCTTCTGGGGGTGAACTGGGGCATAGCGAGAGGGGTGCCCCATTCCTCCTAAAAAATTTACCAGTGCTACTGCTAATGTTATCTGGTTATTTCTGGGCACATTTAATATGTTTGAGTACATGTAAATTATTTTTTGGGGTGGGGGTGTAGAAACAAGATTTCAATATTGTTTTGTGATTTCTTGGCACTTTTAATAGTGCTTCAATCAACAAATATAACCCCCAAATAATTCTAAAAATACTTGTCAAATGTCTTTTTGGGTGCATGTCTAATTTTACCAGTTCAAGATGCTATTCGGTTATTTCTTGCACTTCAAATATGTTTGAGTCAATACAAGTAACTGAATATAACATTTTTCTATTGTTTTATTTTTCCGGGGGATGTGGGAATATTTTACTATTTCAAGATGTTTTTTCTGGAAAAAAAGTTGAAAAAAAACATTTTGAAACAATTTTCAAGTTTTAGGGGAGGGAGCGAGAGTAAATGAATAAATGGTGCCCCTCCCCCTCCCTCTCTCTCTCTCTCTCTCTCTCTGGAAACTTTATAAAGATATTACTTTGGTGATTTCTGGACACTTGAAAAGTCACAGTATTAGACAATAAATAAAGCTGCGGAAAAAACAACAGATTTCTTTTCATGTTTTTTGGAAGGGATGGGGGTGTCAGGGGGGGAGGGGGCAAAGGGTGGAAAATATTTTATTATAGATTATGGGGCCATGTGATCTAGGATTGACTGTGAATGGGGAAATGGTCATTATGACACACCCTGTACATGTAAGTTTGGATTTCTATTAATAGAGGAATTCACTTCTACAACATGCTCCTTTTACGGCTTTTAACTTCTGTAATGATGTCGGTTGGGCTCTAAGAGTGCAGGGCCAAAAAAAATTGAAGCATGGAGTTTGTTTCAACTACAGTAGTTGGTTATGGGACATCCTTGCCTAGCAACAATAGCTGTTTTAATTAAAATATTGTACTAGTATTGTCATTTGATCTAGAGTCTATCTAGGGCTGCTAACCCAGTTTCCATGGATAAAGAGCTTTATTTCAGAAAGTCCATGTGACACACATTACCAGTATTGCATATGCCATTTTCCCTAGCAATTGTAGATTTCTACCTGCTTTGGGACTAGGAACATTTTAAGTTCATTTACGTTGGCTTAGGAACATTTTAAGTTCATTTACGTTGGCTTACTAGCTAGAGGATAATGTCTTTGACCAATATTTATAGACAGATTTTACATGCTTGTCTCTTATCTTCAATTCAGACTTGTTCTCCTCGAAAACTGAGTCAAACATATAGAATGTCTGATAAACAGAACATGAATCTATAAGCACTAGATTACTAGAACTTGAATCAAATCAAAAATGATTATATTAATTTGAACCTACTATGAGGCTATGCTTTGGATATGCCCGCTAAAACTGTAATATGACCTCTAATATGACTATTATTCTGATGGCGGCTCATTTTGAACCTTGGTCAAACTCTGGTTTATAGGCCTTGAACTTTGGTCATTTGGACCTTTGGTGTGTTCATTCAGACCTAAACTGTGTTCATTCAGACCTAGACTGTGGTCAGTTAGACCTTAAATGTGGTCATTTAGACCTACATGTAACATATGGTCATTTAGACCTGAACTGTGGTCATTATTCAAAATTCCATCTTGAAAAAATCATAATATTTCCCTTCCTGTCCAAAGTACATTATTTCAGGAGCACTAGTGGCTGACTACTAATGGTTCATATAAGTCCAAATAAATGTAGTTAGACTAGTAAATAAAAGTTCCAAAAACTGCAAAAACAAATGACTGTTGAAAAAATTCAACAAGTCAAGCAGATCATCTGATCTAAAATTCATGTGCTATTTACAGCTATGTACAACTAGCCTAGTCTCTTACAAAGGTGTGTTTCCGTTTATCCTGTGCCAGGACTATAGTCCTGGACCAAGCGCAATCTTTTGCCTGTACGATTACAACTTGGGAGAATTATCCACAGATACCTACTTCAATAGATTCCTTGGTATTTTAGCATTCTTTTTGTGTAGTTGAATCCATAATTGTCTGGGTATACATGTATCAGCAGAACGGGAACATTTTTCTTTTTCATCGAGAGAGATTCCATCACTTTTCAAGATGGCGGTTGGATTTAAAAGGGGTTCACCGTTTGACTACCCTTGAAGTGGCCCGGAAGTACCAATAAATGAAGGACTTTGACGGTTGAAATCAGTTAAATATATCACGCAAATATTGCGATCAAAAACGAAAAATTTCTTCGTTCTGCCGATAAACCCAGATAATTGTGGATTCAATAATGCTAAAATATCACACGGATATGCGTGAGATAAACGATATCACACGCATATGAGTTTGATAAACGATTTTCTGGAAAATATCACACGGATTTCAATGATATCAGAAATATCAATAGCTGTTATTGTACAGATAACACATTAATCGTGGGATAATAAGGGTTATTATGCAATATTAACTCTTAATAAGATGAGTGTAATAGAAATTTGGCATTTGGTATGGTATTAGCCCCGGTATTGGTCTCATATTTGGGCATTTGGTATGGCTTTTGGGCACTATATTGGTTGGTATGGAACACATCCAAATTTGACATTTTGGTATGGGAATATATTGATATCTGAGGGTTCAGCCTAGGACCCCCGCCGTGATAGCAGTGAACCCCCCCCCCCCCCGGCATGAATTAAAATGAAAGTGAAAGATCAAGTGCTTTACTACTTACAAGCCTTTTAGCTGCAGCCTTCTGCATAATAAGTTGACATTCTTTGAGACATGAATCTCCAGGGGCTCCCATTGTCAGACTACATTGATCTGTTTCCGTGGGCTCGGGAGTCATCCCTAACTCGTCAAATAATGTTTTGAAGTTGTTATCTCCCATTTTCAACTTTCTCGACTGATCAACTTTCTATAAGTAGGTCATGTCAAGGTAACGCAGTTTCAAAAATTCAAATGCATAAATAAACTTTTTGAAATAGATTGTTTCAATTGCTAAGACAAAAATTAATCTAAACTTTATTTGATTAATATTGCGCAATCAATATAGTTTTATTGCAGTACATTATTTCAATAATTCCTACTTTCATAGTAAACTTATTTCATGTCATTATGACCTTCACCTTCAAAAATGGCGAAAATTTTAAGAAACAATAAACATGTGGTGTGCATTAGTGGCAAATACGTCAATATCTTCAATCTGGGGTGAGTAAATCTATTATCATCTTACAGATAATTTTATGCAAAATATGTTGGTATATTTTTTTAAACAAAATATGAACAGACAAATGAGGTATAGTGCTTTGAAAATGTTACTCGGAAAAACACTGCCTAGTTTTCAATTACGCATGCGCAGTGAACTAATTTCTAATTTCCTGAAGTTTTATTTTGTGAAATATCACAAGAATTTCCCTAATTATCTACTGATTATAAGATTGAATATGATGTTTTAATAATGGCAGCAGCTGCCCCTCTAGCCGGAGAATTCAGCCATGATTGGCAGGAAAGTGCAGAGTGTTTGACACTGGACTTTGGTCCATTTGAGACAGTACACAGATGGAAACAAATGCCAGAATGTGATGAATTTGTAGGAGCTAGGCGTAGCAAACACACAGTGGTTGCGTATAAAGAAGCTCTGTATGTATTTGGTGGAGATAATGGAAAGACAATGTTGAATGACTTGCTGCGCTTTGATGTCAAGGATAAATCATGGGCATGTGCTTTCACAACTGGATACCCGCCAGCTCCCCGGTATCATCATTCTGCCGTCATCCATGAAGAAAGCATGTTTGTTTTTGGTGGTTATACAGGAGACATTCATTCAAACTCAAATCTTACAAACAAGAATGACTTATTTGAGTATAAATTTTCAACAGGTCAATGGGTTGAATGGAAGTTTGAAGGCCGAATGCCTGTTGCTAGAGCTGCGCATGGAGCGGCAGTTTACGATGGACGTCTATGGATATTTGCTGGTTATGATGGAAATGCACGTCTAAATGATATGTGGACAATATCTTTGCTAAGCGACACCCGTCATTGGGAAGAGATCAACCAAATTGGGGATATCCCTCCAACTTGCTGTAATTTTGCCCTTGCTGTTGCCAGACACCATATGTTTGTTTTCTCTGGCCAAAGTGGGGCAAAAATCACCAACAATTTGTTTCAATTTGATTTCAAGGACAAACAGTGGACTAAAATCTCTACTGAACATATTCTGAGAGGAGCGCCTCCTCCCCCTGAAAAAAGATATGGCCACACTATGGTAGCATTCGATCGCCACTTGTACGTATTTGGAGGTGCTACTGGTCAAACCTTGCCTAATGATTTACATTGCTATGATCTGGACTCACAAACATGGACAGTAATAAAACCATCAGCCGATAGCAAAGTTCCAACAGGTCGTTTATTTCATGCTGCAGCTGTCGTTTGTGACGCAATGTATATTTTTGGTGGAACAATCGATAACAATGTACGTAGTGGAGAAATCTTTAGATTTCAATTCTCCAGTTATCCCAAATGTACTCTTCATGATGACTATGGGAAATTATTGGAGAGTAAGCAATTCTGTGATGTGCACTTCATTGTTGGTAAAGACAAAGTTTGTATCCCAGCGCACATTGCAATGGTAGTGTCCCGATCACAGTGGCTCAGAAATAAGATCCGACAAACCAGAGATCTGCAACAATCGCTAAAAGAAGCAGACTTTGACACTATAACATTATCTCCTCTCCAGGTTAATCTGGTTGATGCCACACCTAAAGCATTTGAAATGGTGCTGTCATACATATACACCGATCGAATCCAACCTGCCAAGAAAAGTTCAGACACTGGCAACAATGATGTTATTCTTCTTATGATGGATGTCTATAGGCTCGCGCTTCAATTCAGGATGGTACGCCTTGAGCTCCTATGCGTACAATACCTTGAGGCTTGTATTGGTCACCGCAATGTACTTGTTGCTTTGAGTAATGCAGCCAAATTGAAATTGGATTTCCTTCGTGAATACTGCCTGAAATTTATTGTCAAGGAGTCTAACTATAATCAGATCGTTATGAGTAAGGAGTTTGAGATCCTCGATCAGCCTTTGATGGTGGAGATTATCAGACGTCGCCAGTTGCCTCCTGTGCGTCTCCAGGAGCCACAGAATACAGAGAGTCACAATGATAACTGCTTGGAGAAAGACCTGGAACTGTTCTTGAAATCTCCAGGCATAAGTGGTGATTTCTGTGACATCACACTGATGCTTGATGGTGTGTCAATCCCAGCTCATAAAGCTATCCTGGCCGCAAGATGCAGCTACTTTGAGTCAATGTTTAGATCATTTATGCCAAAAGACAACACTGTAACAATTGCTATTGGTGACACTGTGCCCTCAGGCCAGGCATTTGACAGCCTACTTCGCTATATCTACTATGGTGACATCAACATGCCCCCAGAGGACTCCCTCTATCTTTTCTCAGCCCCGCATTTCTATGGATTTGCAAACAATCGCTTACAAGCATACTGCAAACAAAACCTTGAGATGAATGTCTCATTCAAAAATGTGGTCCAAATTCTGGAGGCAGCTGATCGCATACAGGCATCTGATATGAAGAAACATGCACTAAGCATCATTGTGCATCATTATTCAAAGGTTGCTAGGCTACCTGAGGTCCGGCGTCTATCCAGGGAGCTCTTATTGGACATTATCGATGCCCTTGCCGATGATATGTCAGACTCTAGAATGTGTCAGGATGTTTCTTCTATCAGCCTCAATATGGATGTGAACACATAGATATTGTTTGGCACTGTACATGTATAAGTAAAAGACTTGGAAATTAACATGATTAATGAATGTATATAAATCAGAGGAAAGATATTAAAAAACTATATTAATTAAAGGAACATCCTTTTTATAATGTCACCACCAAAAGTGGTGACATATTGTTATAGTCTCCAATGTTTTTGGGGACAATGATCAGTGATTGGTGTTTTGCTGTTGGTGTCATGTGACCTGTTACCAATTTTTACAACTTTCCATAACTTAACAAGTACTTTGACTTCAAACAAATTTTTACTTTCAACATGTAAACATTTTATGAGTTCCAACACATTTCTGCAGATATCTGTTACCATGGCCACATATTGAAGGCCAAAAAAGGTAAAAAAGGTATTTTTTCAACTTGCTTCAAATTTACCAATTTTTTCAAAATCAGTTTCAAGTTCTCAGAAGTTCAAATCTGACTTTAGATTTGACCTTCATCAGTAACAACTGTTACACTTTCATAACCATTTGCAGGTTGTGACATTTTGTCATATTAATGACTTGTGATTAAGGCCTTTTAACATTTTGTAAACCGTTACCTATATACCTTGACAATTGTGAATTTCCTGGAAATTGAACCAAAAGTATGTACATAATTTATAAAATTGTTTATACTAGAATTTGGTATATCTTTTAAACATTATATTCTGTTATAGCATGGGCTTTCAAGAAAGCCAATGGTTATAGTAATTGAAATTAAGATTTGAATCAGCAGCAAGTTGCGTATTTAAAGGTTCTTCAAAACCTTATAATTTTTACATACATCTAACCTCACAAAAGATTGTATTAGTAATAGCAGGACACATTTAATATCATGAGATCCTTGATTATGAATGGTAGTATCTACTTTATAGATACAACATGTACATGTATAACTAGAAATGTTGCCCAGGCCTTGTGCCTGCTTTGTTATTGTATTATGTTATTGTAATTAGAAAATAAACATGCAATATATTATCTTATATTAACTATTTACACTGTCACTTATCAGGCGATTATACTGATATATTGTCTATCAGGAATATGTCTCGATTGTATAAGATTGCCATGTTTCTAGGCCTATGGTCACCTCAATTGATACAATGTAAATTGTGAGATTGATTGACATGTATCAGATATATGCCAATCAAAGAACTTTGGAAGACCTTTCCAATGGTATATCACACTTGGTACCATACATCTTGGTTTTGGCTGTAGAGGGGGGGTACGGGACTTATTTGACACCCTGTATATGTTCTTGAACATATTATTTTCACCATTTTATGCCTATTTTCTCAGAAGTCCAACAGTTTTGACTTTATATCTGGATATATGTCTCTGATTAAGGCTATCTTGCAAAAACTGGGTTTTCTGTTTTTCAGTTCTAATGGATTTGGACATTCCTGCATCTTATATCTTCTATTTGATCAGATATCACGACCCTTTTTTCTCAAATGAGTTGAAAGCCCATGGTTGTACAGTGTTTGTTTCATCTCAAGTGATAATGTTATTCTCATTCTGCTTATGTATCAGAGTGGTCTTTCCAAGCATCATATTACTTGTCTCACCTATTTTTCTAATAATTCTTATTAATTTTCCCTATAATTCCAGTATTCTGATAAGAGATGTATAAATCTGGCTATAATTTTCAGCCAAATATTTTTAGTCCATGATCTTGCCTTATACAGGGTTCTGCATTAAGATTGAAAACATGATTGACACACAGATTGGCAGTCAGCTGATCACCAGTAGGAACTATTTTTCAAGTGAATTGTCAATTGAGTAAAGAGCATTTGATAACTTAATTTTAAAGCAAAGCACTTACCAAATGAACCTTTATTTTATTCAGGGATGAAAACCAAAGAACACTATGTTGCGATCCAACAGACTTAAAAGACACTCAAAGAGAAACTGATGATGCAAAAACTGAAGAAGAGAAGCCAGAGAAATCTGAATCGGATGGTGAAGATGGAGAAAAATCTAAAAATGGTACAGCTAAGGGGTAAGTTAATCATTGCGCTGAACATTAACTATCTTGTTTGAGTTGCAAAAATGTATCTTTGCTATTATTGGCTTATGTTTTGAATTTTGATCAAAGATGTTGGTGTTGTTCAATTTACACAAAAGAATGTTTCTTCAGTAGTGAGTCCTTATAGTTTTTTATCGTGGTGACACTGCAGTAAAACCAAAAGGCACATTATCCACACACAAGTAATAATTAAGGATTTAAGCCTTGGACTCAGTGCATTGTGTGCTGAACCATTCCACAAAGATGTTGTTTCCAAATCTTTGCATGACCCCGCAGGGGGAATGCAAAGTTTAGGAAACAACATCTGAGTGGAATGAAGCAGCCACAATGCATTGAGTCTTGGGCTTAAATTCTTTTCACACATTGCAAAATATTTTCTATAAAATCACCTAAAAGATACAAAATCACTAAAAGAGCATATTTTCATTGAAACATTTTGCAAGGATCAAGTATTGGAAAACTCAATTTCAATCTCAATCGCTTAGCAACTGTACACAACAAATGCGTTATTGATATTTCACACATTGTTCATTATGTGATCACTCTGTTCAGATTGGCTGGAATCAGACACACCTTCTCTAGCTATGTGTGAATACCTCATTAATATCTTCCATGTTCTTACCAATTGCAATTGTTATTCAGGTCTAAGTGTACATCAGGGAGTGATGCTATCCTGACTTGTGGGTTCTCCTCTACTGGCAGATACTTTGCTGTTTGTGATGACCACAAGAGGTTAACACTATGGGATGCCACAGAAGACTGGAAACAGCTGAGTGTCAGGTATAATAAATGGCTTTTGGCAGGCATGGTTTTATCAACAACATTTTATGAGCTCATATTATAAATCAATGGAATCGCCCATTTCTCCATCTATCTTGCCATCCTTCAGTCCATCTGTCACCAATTTTTGAAAGAATGAGAACTCCTTTCATCTAAACCAATGCTCATAGCCATATGTACCATTTGATCCAGTTTACCTCTTTTTGAAGAAATTGGCTTTTTTGTCATCAAAATATAACATTTCTTACAATATACAAGTCTATATCATATCAGAGGAGGTCATACACGGATTTTCTCTTATATGAATAAACTAGGCTTATGTTCATACTAAAGTGCTTAATTAACAAATGCGTGCTTAGATTTGTCAGAGTCAAGAATCACCCCCTCCCCTCCTCTATTTACCCACATCCCTCCTTAACTTCATTCTTTATTCCAGGACTGTGTTACGGAGGTCATCAACATTGACATTCAGCCAAAAGGAAGACAATGTAATCATAGGAGACAAATCTGGGGATGTCTTCACATTCTCGACAAAAAATTGTGAACAACCAGGACAACTCATCCTAGGACATTTATCACTCCTCCTAGACACAGTAAGGCTGTTATGTTATGAGTTATTTTGGTGCTGTGCAAAACAATTCTTGTGTCTGATTATCATAGAATATGCTTGATAACAAACTTATGACTTATATCTAAAAGCAAGAAGTTTAGTTAATAGGGTATTACGGTTCAGCCACAATTCGTCAATTTGACATTATAGATTGGTTATCATGCATACCATTGCACTCCAAGAGTCACTAGAGAATCATGTTATACCCCATTTATCCCCTCTCAAAGAGGTACTACAGTAGTACTTGCTTCTGTACTTTTTAGATTGTAACCAAGAATGATGAATTCATAATCACAAGTGACAAAGATGAGAAGATCCGTGTGAGCCGCTATCCTAATGGATATACCATAGAGAGTTATTGTCTCGGACACACACAGTATGTCACTGCTCTCTGCTATGTGGAGGATGTGGATCTATTGATATCTGGAGCTGGGGTGAGTTTTAATCTTTTGTACATTATAGAAAATTATTCTACCTTAAATCAAAATATGTTTTTTAATTGATCAGTCAGTACTAAATGAATGTTTTACTATACAGTTAAATATTCATTTTGTCACAAATCTACATCTTCCTAATAAGAGTCTAATTCAGTTGATTTAAAGACTATAAATAAACATAAATAAATACATTTCCCAATGTAAAAATATCAAGGGGTACCAACCTTGTCTCCCTAACTGACAGTGCTACCTTAATGGAAGAATCTTCTCTTGTTCAGTCACTTACTGACAAACCTGTCATATGTCTATATTACCAAAGGTGAACCTCTCAAACATCAAAAATGTCAATGTGAATCTCTCATATTTCCATTCTAGGACTCCACCATAAGAGGATGGTCCTATAAACAGGGTGAGGAGCTCTGTTGTATTGACTGCAGAAACGACCTTGAACTTGAAGCTCAACCAGATGAGAAGGAAAACACTGATGGTCTTGTTGTAAAATCTTTAAAGTATTCCAGTAAACACAACTTACTAGCTGTAGGAATATATAAGTGAGTTTTTATTGCTCTATGTTATATAGATGTGCAATACAAAATACTTGTAGAAATCAAATCTGTCATCAAATGATGTATTCAGCTCTTTCAATTTTATTTAGAAATGTGTTTGGCATATTCAGCCACATGTGAAACCGGTTTGTACAAATACACCCATTTTCTGTATAATTCATGTTTTCCACCATGTGTTGATTCAACTGTTAGCAGGCACAGTACCACAGGAATCTAATACTGGGAAAAGGCTACTAATCCCAAATTCCCATGAAAGATTTTCTGTAATTTATGTTGATTTTGTAGGCATAGCAAAATACTGATATACAAGATTGATGCAACATCAAGTCCTCAACTTCAGTTCCACCAAGCCATTCAAACTCCAGAGAATGTCTTAGAACTATGTTTTGATGAGGAAGGATATCTCTGGGTGTTAATGGGTGAGGAAAGTAGATCTGTACAAGTGTATCAGATAACAGAACAATCAATTTGTGTAAGTATTTTAACAAAAAATAACTAATTATTTGAAAGTAGTAGTATATTGTTTATTAAAGTCTCACATGTCTCTTGGACATCAAGCCATTGCCTGCTGAGCAGAGACTATAAAATTTAGTACATTAAAATTCTTCTTTTTTTAAATCACTAAAGTCAATTAAAAACTGTATTCTGATTTGAAAGCTTCATCGAGTTTTCGGCCCTTATGAAAATACATAAAACTTTAAACCTAGCAGAAGCTCATTGTATTTTAGTGTGAAAAATCAAAGGTTAGAAAAGTACTGTGTTATATTTGTCTATGTGTAAACATTACATTATTCAAATCATTCCTTATATTTGAATGTCATATGACTAGGACCAAAAAACATATATTTTGTTGTTGTAAATTGATATATCAGTACTATCATTTCCCTCCCATATTCTCCTTCAGGAGCTGTTAAAAGAAGAGCATTGTACAACAGATTCTAACAAGGAGACTCTGAGAACAGTAGCTTATATCAACACTCAAGAGGACATTCTGAAAAAATGTAAGTTACATGTATATGCAGATTTCAAGTACAGAATAATTTTGATGGGTCAAATAGCAGGGTTCCTACAGACTTTTGGAAATGCCAGGCACATATGTCTTTATTTGAATTCAAGAATTTCCGAAGAAATGGTAAGGGTCTGGAATATTAGAATTTTGAAAATACTTAAGAACATTTTGAAAAGGTAAAAATAGGACCACAAACTAATGAGATGAAATGACATTTGTCGCTTTTATTTTTGTCGCTTTTATTTTTTACCTGAAGGGGGAAACCAGAAGTAAGGCCTGTTCAAAGTTATTGATTAGATTCCTGGACTTAATGGAGGCTACATGAAGTAGGACAATCGGGGTGTTAATATTTTTGCCTGGACTTCCTTTTGAAATATCTGAAAGAACCCTGAATATTATTGTGTTATTTTTAGTGAAGAGGGTGGACTTTTTAAATTGATTTAAATTACTTCTCAAAAATTCATTGATACTCTGACTCTGAAGCCTTTTAAGTGATTGAATGTGTAAAAAGGAGTTCATTTGTTTCTAATGTATAAAGTACATATTAAGTATAAAGGAGTTGCCCAGCATGGTTTTTGGCCTTCTCTTAGTTTAAAAGTCTGATTTAATTGTCACAGTTTGAGGGCTAAATCATGTAAAATGGACCTGCTGTTTTGTTGATCCCACAAAGGGATATATATGCAATTATAGGATCAGTCAATGATTTACTATATGCTTACTCTAGATGAATTAAGCTTTAAGTAGTTTAGCTTCTTGGTTTATCTCATCAATGTAAATGCACCTGATGTTGCAGCATATCATAAGCTGAAATAAGACTCATCTTTCAACTATTTATGTTATCACCACAAGTGGTGACATGTTTTTATAGTCTCCAACTTTTTGTGGATGGTATTCAGCATTCAGTGCTTGGTGTTTGGCATCTGTAACAAATGGCAGGTGGTGGCATTTTGCGTACTAAGGCCTTGTGTTTACAAAACAAATGTTGCCGGATTCAGTACAGCACATGAAAACAAAAAAACATCTTTATTATCTCTTGACTTCTGCGTTGAAATCCATTTATAACTCTTTATTTTTTATATTTTATCTATTTTATAAGAGTGCATGCAGGTCAGAAATGCACCTCCTTCAAATAATTGGAGAAAAATGTCAAAACTGATCATATCTACTCAAACATTTTATATACTATTGTAATTTTCTGATTCCATATTTCCATATTCCAGCATCATTAGAACCTGAAAATTTGTTTGAACATTTGCACAAGCTGAAAGTTGGATCCAAAACATTTATGAGCGAATACTATGATAAAAAAGAAAAGCGTATTGAGACTGAAAAGGAGAAATATAAACAAAATCAGCAAAAAAGACAACAAAGACGGCGTGGTGGGAAACGTAGCAACAAAAATAGAGAAACTGAGGACACAACAGAAGTGGAACTGAGTGAGAAAAAAGCTAAAAGTGAAATGTCTTAGTAATGAATTTTTATTGGAATAAAAATATAATATTGCGATTAATTACCATCTAGTTTGCTCAGTATTGTTTTTAATAATATGTCCGACTCCACATTTTTCAACTTCATGTAGTGAGCCTAACATCTTATTCCTGGGAAATGCCAAGACTTACTTTTTAATACACATTTTAGCATCTATAAATAGAAGCTTCCATTAAGAGTGAATGTCCTCATATCAAGAAAATAAGAATTTTGACCAATAAATCAGATGCGAGTAGGTAGTTACCAGATTCACCACCAGGTGGCTCGTTCGGGTCAGATAGCATGGCGGATATAGGAGAAAGTTCCCTTTAACTTAAATGGCATCTGTTTTAATATTCAATGTTCATATAACCCTTATGTATCTAATAGTTATGCAAATTGAAATATGTCCAGTAAAAGAAAATGTTATCAATCCAATACAAGAAAAGATATTTCACTTTTTGTGATTTGGTAACATGTGGTCTATGGGGAATCAACCCGAACAAGAAGTCACATTTTCAAAAAAAATTAAATTTTCAAAGTTGATAAACAATTTTCGAAACCATATTTCTAGATGTACTTTTACATGCAGATTTCAAATATGACATCACTTTGACTGAATTTTGAATATTTAATGACGTAAATCAAGATTATTTCTACTCGCACCTAGTCTATTGATGGTCTTTAATATAATTCCTCATTTGTATTTATTATATACCCCATATGTGTTCTAGATGCCCATTGGCTTATTCATGGTCACATGATATGAAATAGAACTTATTCTCTGGAAAGTCCTAAATCCATGCTTGCAGGGAAGATAAAAAGGACTAATGGCTAATTTATATAATAAAACAAAAACAGTATCTGCCACATTTTTGGAAAATAGTGCAAACACCATCCATGGTAGACTTGGTAGTCAAAAGTATAACAGTATGGGCTTCTCTTGAAAGTCCATGATTATATCAATAATGTCGGCAGTGCTTGACAGTTTGGGACATTTACATTTCCCCTTAACATTTACAATATAGTTAGCAATCCCACGGTGATGTTTTGTTTAATTTAATATAGGGAATGCCTCCGTCTGTCCATCCGTACATACATCTGTACGTACCTACGTCCGTCCAGGCAATTACTCAAATACCATTGGCCCGATTTAATTCATATTTTGTACACATATACCCTATGGGGGTAGAAGTTCTGCTCGAAAGCTGATTTTCAAAATAGCCGCTCATTTAAAAATGGCGGCCATTTTAGTGCCGATTTTATATTAGTTTAGGTGCAATATGTAAAACTGTAATAGCAATATGTTTTAAATGTAAAAAAATTATATAGGACATTAATAAAGCTAGAAATGTAGATATTAAAGAAGCACATGGCAGCCTCTTGAAAAATGGCGGCCTTTACTCGTTATTTTACGATTTTTGCTGTAATTCGAAGAGTATTAGAGTGATTTTGTTCATATTTGCTATGTGAATGCTATAAGCTTGGCACACTGTCTAATGGCACTTTTGGTAGAAGGCGGCCATTTTGAAAAATGGTGGCCATTTTAACGTATTTTACTATAACTCGAAAAGTAGTGGAGCGATTTTGTTCATATTTGGTATGTGAATCCTATAAGCATGGCACAATGTATTATGACACTTTTGGTAGAAGGTGGCCATTTTGAAAAATGGCTGCCATTTTTTGCTAATTACATGTAATTAACTTTGTAAAAATGCCAGCCATGGCTGTTCGATGGGATTTGCTATGCTTTGGCGTTGCTGTTGTCTAGTTGGACATTTGTTTCAAGCTATGATAATGACAGCTAACTAATAAATAATCTGCTTCCTCAGGGGGACCACCAAGAAGGGGCTGGTTGTAAAAATTATGCATTGTACTTAAGGTCACAGCCAATGCCAACCTACATGTACATGTTACACTGCTATATTGATTACCAATTCCACTTTGTCTACATTGGTTTTTGCATAAATATTTAAACCAATTAAAGGTTAAGTTATCAGTACAGTAAAACCTGTCTTAGTGCAGTCAGTGAAGTAATTTAGGCTATGTTGTTTTGACGATCGAGACCCCATAAAATATGATTACTTTATTGTTAAATGTTACAAAATGTTGATGTCTAGTTTGGTAGCGCTACTGAGTTGGATTTTAGCAATTAAATGATTATAAAATCAAAGATGTAGTTAGAAACATCGACTTGAAAACAATTGCAATTTCTCCATTGATGTCCAACAAGTTCAAAAATCATGAGTCGTGACAATAAAAAAGAAAGCTTATTGAGACTGAAAAGGAAAAATATAAACAAAATCAGCAAAAGAAACTGTGGTGTTGATTATCAGGAAGATTGACTTCGATGATTTAGTCGCTGTCAAGTGCAATGTTGCTAACTCAATGACACAAAGTTTTATTGGGTCGGGCTTAAAGTCATTTATGTCAATTTTTTTGTTTATACACTACAGAAAACAGTGGCATGTTTCAACAGAGAATTCCTGAATTGAGGAAAAGTCAGAGAATTTTGATGTGAAAACTGGCAACCCTTCAGACTAAAGAGGTGTTCTCTACACACAGGTTTTACTGTATCTAATGATCTTGAATATATAGTGCTAAGTATATTATTTGTAGGGAAACAAATACATGTATGGTGTCCATATTTGCTTTGTCCGCATGTAAGTCAATGGATCAGACCAAGGTATTGGGTCAGATATATGTTGTATTGTAGCATTTATGTATATAAAGTTATAAACCGTATTGATTGAACTTATGTGCATAACCTAGTTGTGTATTTAATACTCAGTCAACAAATAGTCCAGAGAAAGTGCCAGAATGGCAGAAATTTGATGATGTTTTGGTTTTAGAATTCACAGGGATGTTGAATAATAACAGTGTTCTGTACTGTACTGTACTGTACCAAGATATGAACAAATTACAGTACATTTTCAATCAAATTGAATATTTTGAAAATAAAAAAATGAAATCATAATCCATGAAATTACATTAAACAGAATATGTATCAAGGGTAACATGTGAATAGCAGTAAAACTCAATTGTTTTGACCTGATACATCAGGTGTTACATTAATTTGTTCTTTCTGTGAATGCCAGTGGGATTTGAAAGTGCATATTATGATACTTATGATTTATAATATTTAAACACTTATACTACTGCTTGTCAATATTGAATCACCATACTGACACATTATATTGTGGTGAAGTGACCCTTCCATGATATTAATTAATACACTATGTATTCCTGTGGCTGTGCACTGTACTGTTCTAGTTTTTTCACTCACCAGGAGTCAATTTTTTTCAAGTTGTTCACAAAAGTAAAATAATTGTTGTTGTCAAATGTATATTTTGGGTTTGTAAAATTGGGTTATGAATGGAGCAAGCCTTAGTGGTAATGTTCATTGACATATTTTGTTTAATGGAGAGATCAAAATCTTTTAAGTATGCTCAGTAACTATTTTTTTCTTCAAATGCATAGCAGCTTGCCAATCACCATTGTGTGACTGAATTCAGAGACAAATATACTCTGCTGAATTGAATGAGTGTTTTTTAAGCCAACGGGGAATTTAAAACTAGATGTCACGTCATTGTTAATTTACACTCATTCTACTACATATGTACTTAACTTTTAAATGATACATTTTATATGTTTTGTATTTTTTGTGATATGAAGTAAAAGAATCAAGTGCTTCCACATCATGCATGCTAAAATACACGTGCAAGTACTTATCACTTGCTTTCACTTATTTTAGCCAATTGTAGTTGCACCCATTTTAAGTCATTATAAATACCACCCAATTGAGAAAATATCCAAAGTGGGAAATATTTTCATATCACTGAATAGCATGGATTATGTGTGGAGTAAGCTGCATAGGAAAGCTGCTTTTCCAATTATATGCTCAGGCCATTTGTGGTTAATTATATGTTTGACAGATTTTTAAAAAGAATTCAAGTGACCAAAATATTTATTTTGTATTTTTCATTCTCGAAAATAAGGACCCAAAACAAGATTCATAACATGTATGAACTAGGCAAGATAAAAACTGTTTGATTAGGGAGTTTCTGTAAATGAAAGTAGGCACCAATAAACATACAAATTATTTGTAAGAGCCTTACCGGTTTATTACATGGAGTGATTTACATATAATCTCACATAACAATAGAAAGCACTGGCTTTAGAATTGTACAGAAGCAAGTGCAAGACCAGTCTACAGTGTGGATAGCTTTTGACCAGGTAAGAGATTATATACATTTCACTCTAATGATTGGTGTTTTAGTAATATTCTCTGTAAATAATGCTAATTATTTCTTATTTGTGTACATGTGTATCACCTGGAAAATACATGGGTTCAATGTTCCCTGTTAATTGGATTTGTGATAAGTTAGTCATAGTTTTACCTGTTGTATAATATACAAGTAGGGCACACCCCTGTGTTCTGGTTTATTGTAGCTAGGATTTTGAAAGCACAATTGCTTTACAAAGGTAAGATATAATAATATTTATATGTATTACATATACTTATATAAAAAGTACTAAATATTAATTTTAGTAAAAGGCTAGAAGAAGATGAGGTACATTTAGATCTGCAGGATGAGATTTTCATGTCATAATTCAAATTACTACTAATATTTAGTGAAATTGGTAATATTTTCCGGAATCCAATGTGGATATTTACATTTTATTATAGACTTCATAGTTAAAAATCAAAATATTTTGTTTGAATTATATATATCGGGTGTCCCAAAAAATGAGACACTTTTTGACAAGTATTTTCTCGGCAACTGATAAATCAAATTCACTGAAAATTTGTACAGATTAGCCTGAGAGTATCTGTAGCAAGTTATAAAAATATGAAAAAGATTGAGTTAATCTTACGGGAGAACTAAGAAATTCAAGATAGCATTCAAAAGATCCCATACCGGAGCAATGCAACAAGAACTTTATAGTGTTTGTACCAAAAAATGGAAAGCAATTTGAAAGTAATTTCTCAACAATAGATGAGCCTAATTATTTGAAAATTACTTTACTTGAGGCGCTTTAGGGTATCTTCTGGTGGTGTTACGAATTTAAAAGATATTGGTCTCATATTATGTGTGCATTTTTGAATTAAAGACAGTATGTCAAAATAACCAATATTAATGTCAAAGTCACTTATTAATCCATACTGAACCTCTGTACCTAAGCAAAAATACTTTTCCATATTTATTCTAACAACATCACCTCAAATGAATTTTGAGAATGAATAGATTTTGGATATTTGGGAAGAATGAAACGACTTAATTAGACATGGCACAGAGACAAGCATTTTGACTGACTCCAGTATGGGAATTTTTGACATGCTATTTTAAATTTCTAAGTACTCAAGAATATTTACTTGATCTTTTCTATATTTTTACAACTTGCTAATGATACTCTTAGGCTACTATGTACAAATTTTAAGTGAATTTGGTTCATCAGTTGCCGAGAAAATACTTGTCAAAAAGTGTCTCATTTTTGGGTCACCCGATATATGTTGACCTTGAAATCAAGTTTCTACAAATTATTATTCTGGAAGTGCAGAACTACCTAAATTTTTGACACATGTTCTCAACAGCTCATTTTATTTATTTTGCAGTATTGAAGATGTTGTCTGTAAATTGTGTCTGTGTGCTATGGGTTGCCAGTCTGGTAATGTTTGCCAATGCCCAGGATGATTTTACAGAACTGCAGAGTGACAACTTTGTGTGGAGACGCTACCCTAACAAATATCTCAGTGGAAACAATGATATCGTTATCACTGATTCCTCTCTTGAAGATTGCTTGAAGAGGTATGTTTTCTTCTGATTCATTATAGTCTGTATATAAGTTCAAAGCCCAATAAAGGGAAAAACAAAATTCCAATTGTTCTTTTATTCACCATATAGAAATTCTGTGTGCTATCCATCATTATCCTATGGATATAGAGAACGCTATAACTGGAAAATTAGTGGAGCGAGTTTGTTGAAATTTTATTGTGAATACTTGGAAGCATATTATGCTGTTTATTACAATTTGGCTAATAAGTTGCCACTTTTACACTTTGAAAAACATCATGATAATTTCTGGTGTTTTAACCAATATTATAACTTGTATTTTTTGGGTCAAGATAAAGAAAGGTGCAAGGAATATGTTATACTTCAATTAAAACATCACATTGAGGTGTGGTTTTCAGAAACTAGATGGTGGAAATGCTGATACTAGTATTAGCAGCCGTATTAGCTGATATTCCATATGTAAATAGTTCTAAATACTTTGAAGCATGCCACATTGTCATTTGACAGCTAAAAAGGAAGTTATTTGAAAAATGTGTGTAGAATGATTTTGTTGATATTTTATAGGCCTATGTAAAAAACATGCAAGAGTGACACATTATCTTATGATTCCTAGCAGTGTTGTCCGACATTCATTAGATGTTAAATGGGATTTGTTAGACCTTGGCATTGCTGTTATCTAGGTCTAACTATTAAGTCTATTTTGCCCACCCACCAAATGTTTTATTGATGGTTTACATATATTTATATCCAACTAAGCTATTATATAACATTGACTGAGTCTATCTGGAATTAGTCATTATATTTGTGGTTGAGCCAGTTCACTTTGTGATACTGTTTATTGTAATGTAGAGGAGTATTATCACAATTCTGCCATATTTCATGGGGTTTAGTGATTGCTTTTGTAAATCCATTATATATAAACCCATTAAGCATGTTAAGGGGCAAACGATATTATAAGGCAGTTTATTTTAGCTTTAAAAGACTACAAAAAGAACTCATACTGTATGTAGCTGTTGATACACAGTAGAACTACCATGAAAGCCATTGTATAATTGGCCAGTCTTAGTTCTCTTTAGATTTCAAATACTTTATCACTTTGAAAAAGGGCCCCCCCCCCCCCCCCCCCCGAAAAAGATTGTAAATATTTATGTGAATATTTTAATTCATATCACAACCCTATAAGGTGTATTAAAGATTTACCTTCCTGTTATCTAAAAAATTGCTTGAACTATAACATTGGATTTCTGTGGGAAATTCCTCCTAGAGAATATTCTAGGGATTAAGGAATGTGTTTGGTTTACATAGTTTGAGAAATCATTGGCAAATGTGAAACCATCTTAAAGCAGCATTCAAACATAGCAAGGCAATGTGTTTTCGTTTCCAGCCAATCAAAAGATGCTATTTCACATAACTGCATTCTATTATATAACCAATAACCAACTCAAAGTCACTCGTTAAACTGTTGTAAAGGTAACAACTGGCCTCCTCAGATTAAAATTGTTCTACATACAACTCACTGTTATGTCCTTTCAATGCAAAATCCAGTTTTTTAATCACCAAATTCAAAATTTGATACAAATATCCTTGCAAAATTCCTAGTTTTTAAATTGCAAAACCTACACTCTTATTTGCAAAATTTTGAGGAAAATACAAATTTCTGTTAGGGAGTAGTCACTCTGAAAATGGTGTTTCCTAGGGACTGATGTTCACAAGGGAATGGGATAGGTATTCACAAGGTGGATTTAAGTCTTCCTCTTTCATACTTTATAATAATATGCCTTTGTATTTTATTTGTAGATGTGCAGAAGACTCAGAGTGCAACAGTTTTGACTATGTTGAGTCACAGGGCAAATGTATGTTCACTATAATCAGTCTTGCCAATGGTGGACAACTAGGAGGCTCAACAGTGGTAGACTACTACCAGAAGATGGGTAAGTTCAATCTATAAGAACCAAGGTGTCAGATACATGTAGTTTCAGTGAGTCTGTTGGTCTTGAGTCCACATGTATATTTTATTGATTGTGCAGACAATCATTCTTTAATGTATTATTGGTTGTACAGATTGTATATTTTAAAAGGTATTTATCATTGGTTGTACCAAGAATAGAATAGAATTGAGATGTGACCTTTGGTTCACCATCAATGACCTTAAAAGGTCAATTGATTTTTAAATTGATTTTCTGGATCCACAGCTTAATCGCAAAATGCCTGTGTTCTAAAAAAGTAAAATTCAATGTCAACCAATGTAAACATTTGCATGTGATGACATTTTGTAATGTGAATGTCTTGTTTTATTTTTGTAGAAGCCTTTGTACGTCCTACTGAGCCCCCAACTGAAGCCCCTACTGAGGCCCCAACTGAGGCTCCCACTGAAGCCCCTACTGAGGCTCCCACTGCAGCCCCAACACAGGGCCAAGATCCCGGCCCAGGTAAGGAGATTATTCATACAGATTAGAGAGGTTAAGCTACACGTATTTAACAAAACTTGAACGTGAACTTCAATGCGCGCGCAGATAAATGAGGTCAGACTTTTTTATTTCCTGTGGGCCAGCGTGAACTTTACAGGTTTTTACATGAGATTATCATATTCGTGCAATTTACAGACACGTATTCAACAAAGCATGAACGTGTACTTTTATGCGCGCGCAGGAAAATGACGTCAGATTAATCTACTTTCTACAGGTGAGCGTGAAAGTTACAGGTTTTTACGTGTAGATGAGAGATTACACATCGCTCATTAAGTGATTGATTTTAGCTATGTTCTAGGATGGCCCGGGAGCCCATATTTGATAAAGACAATCTTGCTTGTTATATTGGTAAACCCCAATACTCAATTGGAAATAAGAATACATTTTAATGGGTAAATGACAACTTCAAATGTGATCGTTTGTTCATTCCATACAATGTAAATAGGCAAGGCCAATTTGACACCCGGGGCTTAGTACAATATGTATACTTATTATTAGACTCCAGATGAAATCTGGAGTCTATTGTTTTCGTCAGTTTTCTTATTAGACTCCAGATTGAAAATCTGGAGTCTATTGCTTTTGCCAGTTTTCTTATTATTAGACTCCAGATTGAAAATCTGGAGTCTATTGCTTTTGCCGGTTTTCTTCTTCTTATTATTAGACTCCAGATGAAATCTGGAGTCTATTGTTTTCGTTAGTTTTCTTATTATTCTTTTTCTTCTTCTTATTATTATTATTCTAAGCAAGTTTTCTCAATAACCGTAAGGTTTTCAGTAAAGTCAGTCATTTGGTCAATTTAGGTCCAGAATCTAGTTCCTCGGAAATTGGGTCAAATTTTTATCTAGGTCAAAAGTCAAGAATTAGGTCAAATCCAGTACTTTGTCACTTTTTTCGATTTTCTCGGTCGTCCTTCAATATTTTCGATCCAAGTTTTTTTCATTGTGTTCCTTATAAAAAAGTAGGAAACCTAGGGTCGATTTAGTTTTTTGATATCTCAAACCGATTTCGAGATATCAGTGTCCGAAAACGAGGTCCAAAAAAAAGTTCTCCGAATCAAATGTCAAGGATATTAATCTTATAGAAAATTTTCTCAGGATTCCGAATCTGAAAACGAAATTTCGATCCGACTTCCGGTTCGGAAGTTATGGCGTTTTGAAAACTCAAAAATCGCTAAATTTGGTGCCCATGTTAAGTCAATGGGAAAAAATATTTTTTTGAAGTGAAAAATACGGAATAAAGACTGAGTTCAGCATCATATAATCAAAGCCTTTAAAATAAGGGGACCTCAAAAGCCATCTAGCTTTAAAATTTGGACACCGAAATGCCTAGGTCAAAATCTAGGTCAAATTCATAGGTTTTCCTTATTTTTTCGATTCTGACACTACACTCTAATTATATTCTTCGAAATTGTGTATACATGTAGCCAAGAATATGCTAATAGTGTTAGCCTTTTGCCGTCAGAAAGTATTTTGACCCACTTTTGAGATATGGTGTCCGAAAAGTAGGTCAAAATAAAAAGTTCTCCAAATTTAATATATGAGTTATGAATTAAGGGTAGAATTCTGTCAGGAATCCGAATCTGCAAACCAAATTTCGATCCGACTTCCGGTTCGGAAGTTATGGCGTGTCCGAAAAGTAGGGCAAAATAAAAAATCTCTAAATTTAACGTATGAGTTATGAATTAGGGGTAGAATTTTGTCAGGAATCCGAATCTTTCAATCGAATTTCGATGCGACTTCCGGTTCGGAAGTTGTGGCGTTTTGAAATTTCGGAAAATCGATCTGATGGTATCCTGATAGAAAGTCAAGAGTAGAGAAGAAAATGTTGAAAAATTCATCCATCCTTCCTATCTGATCTTATCCTATCCTTCCTTTCTATCCTTTCTTCGTATCTTTTCCTTCCTATCCTTTCTTCGTATCTTTTCCTTCCTATCCTATCCTATCCTTTCTTCCTATTCTATTCTATCCTATCCTTCTTTCCTATTCTATCCTATCCTACCTTCCTATTTTATTAATCCATCTATTTCTAGATGACTCAGCTTATTCTGGATGACTCGGCTTATTCTGGATGACTCGGCTAAAAAAAGTCTAGATCTGGAGTCTGAAATTGAACTTCGTTCAATTTCCAAAATCTAGTTATTATTCTTTCTCTCTTGTCACGTTTTCTCGGTAACTAGAAGGACTTACTTAAATCTGCTAACACAGTCAACTAGGTAATGAGGCTTAGTTTCTGGGAAATTAGGTCAACTTTTTATCTAGGTCAAAGGTCAAGAACTAGGTCAAATCGTGGTTTTTCACTATTTTACAAGTTTTCTCAGTCGTCCTTCGGTATTTTCACTCCGGGTTTTTTTCATCATGTTCCTTAGAAAAAGCTTATTACGAATGGTAAACCGTTTTTTGATTACTCTTACCGATTTTGAGATATGGTGTCCGAAAAGTAGGTCAGAACATAAAAAGTTCTCCAAATTCAACGTGTGAATCATCATATAAGTGTAGAATTATCTCAGGAATCCGAATCTGCAAACAAAATTTCGATCCGACTTCCGGTTCGGAAGTTATTGCGTTTTGAAATCTCAAAAATCGCTAAATTTGGTGCCCATGTTAAGCCAATGGGAAAAAAGACTTTTTCGAAGTGTAAAATACAAGATATAGACTGAGCACAGCTTAACATAATGAATGCCTATAAAAGAAGGGGACCTCAAAAGCTACCTAGCTTCAAAATTTGGACACCAAAATGCCTAGGTCAAAATCTAGGTCAAATTCATAGTTTTTCCTTATTTTTACGATTCTGACACTACACTTTAATAATTTGCTTCAAAATTTTGTATACAGGTAGCAAAGAGTGTACTAATAGTGTTAGCCTTTTGCCGTCAGAAAGTATTTTGACCCACTTTTGAGATATGGTGTCCGAAAAGTAGGTCAAAATAAAAATTTCTCATAATTTAACATATGAGCTATGAGTTAAGGGTAGAATTTTCTCAGGAATCCGAATCTGCAAACCAAATTTCAATCCGACTTTTCGTTGGGAAGTTATGGCGTTTTGAAAGCTCAAAAATCGCTAATTTTGGTGCCCCATGTTATGTCAATGAGAAAAAAGATTTTTTTGAAGTGTAAAATACCAGATAAGGACTGAGTACAGCTTAAGATTCTGAAAGTCTATAAAAGAAGGGGACCTGGAAGGCTATCTAGCTTTAAAATTTGGACACCAAAATCCCTAGGTCAAAATCTAGGTCAAATACATAGTTTTTCCTTATTTTTGCGATTCTGGCACTACACTTTTAGGATTTGCTTCAAAATTTTGTATACAGGTAGCAAAGAGTGGGCTAATAGTGTTAGCCTTTTGCCGTCAGAGAGTATTTTGACCCACTTTTGAGATATGGTGTCCGAAAAGTAGGTCAAAATAAAAAATTCTCCAAATTTTACATATGAGTTATGAATTAAGGGTAGAATTTTCTCAGGAGTCCGAATCTTTAAACCAAATTTCAATCTAACTTCTGGTTAGATAGTTATAGCGGTTTGAAGTCTCGAAAAGTCGATATGATGATATCCCCATGTTAAGCCAATGGAGTCGAAGATATAAAATTGAGAGTTGTCTAAATGTCTAAATTCTAGCTGACTCGATCAGCTTATTCTGGATGACTCAGCTTACAAGTATTCTGGATGACTCAGCTTAAAAAAAAGTATTAAATCTGGAGTCTTAAATTGAACTTGTTCAATTTACATGTCTAGTTATTATTCTTTCTTTCTTTCTTTGCACGTTTTCTCAGCAACTAGAAGAGCTTACTTTAACCTACTTACATGGCTAACATAGCCCATCGACCTAGTTTCTGGGAAATTAGGTCAACTTTTTATCTAGGTCAAAGGTTAAGAACTAGGTCAAATCTTACATTTTTAACATTCTGTCAATTATCTTCGTCAATATTTATCGAAACACCTGGATGAACATCTTATTGTGTAGCTTAGAAAAAAACAAATCGAGAGTGTGCCATCCGATTTTTGATTACTCTTACCGATTTTAAGATATGGCGTCCGGAAAGTAGGTCAAACTAAAAAGATCTCCAAATTAAACATATGAGCTATGAAATAAGTGTAGAATTTTCTCAGGAATCCGAATCTGCAAACCAAATTTCAATCCGACTTCCAGTTCGAAAGTTATGGCGTTTTGAAAGCTCAAAAATCACGAAATTTGTGTCCAATGTTAAGTCAATGGGAAAAAAGATTTTTTTGAAGTGTAAAATACGAGATATAGACTGCGTATAGCTTAGCATAATGAATGCCTGCACAAGAAGGGGACCTCAAAAGCTATCTAGCATCAAAATTTGGACACCAAAATGCCTAGGTCAAAATCTAGGTCAAATTCATAGTTTTTCCTTATTTTTGCGATTCTGACACTACACTTTAATAATTTACTTCAAAATTTTGTATACAGGTAGCAAAGAGTGTGCTAATAGTGTTAGCCTTTTGCCGTCAGAAAGTATTTTGACCCACTTTTGAGATATGGTGTCCGAAAAGTAGGTCAAAATAAAAAGTTCTCTAAATTTAACATGTGAGCCATGAATTAAGGGTAGAATTTTCCCAGGAATCCGAATCTGCAAACCAAATTTCAATCCGACTTTCGGTTCGGAAGTTATGGCGTTTTGAAAGCTCAAAAATCGCTAAATTTGGTGCCCCATGTTATGTCAATGAGAAAAAATATTTTTTTGAAGTGTAAAATACCAGATATAAACTGAGTACAGCTTAACATTCTGAAAGCCTATAAAAGAAGGGGACCTTGAAGGCTATCTAGCTTTAAAATTTGGACACCAAAATGCCTAGGTCAAAATCTAGGTCAAATTCGTAGTTTTTCCTTATTTTTGCGATTCTGACATTACACTTTAATGATTTGCTTCGAAGTTTTGTATACAGGTAGCAAAGAGTGTGCTTATAGTGTTAGCCTTCTGCCGTCAGAAAGTATTTTGACCC